CTTTTGAATGTCATTCTCATACAAAGCTGAATACATATATTTCCTTGAATCTAGCCATTAAGAGTTCTTTTGATTTGCAATATTTTAGTATAAGGATGGTATAGGAAAACCCATCTTTGGCTAAATGAGGGAAATAAAAAGAGAATAAACAAATAAATAAGCAATATAGCTAATGAGTTTTAAATACGCTTCCAAAAATCTTTCATATCATTTTTACTTCGTGATTCATTACTCTGTTACTGCAAGAATCCTCAATTTAAACACAGAAGTCTTTTTTTTTGTTACTGTTTTGTATCCACAATATCACTTTTTCCATTTATGTTATTAAAGAGAAATATCCCATATTTAGTATGAATCAGCCCTGAGACAAGAGAACCAAATATTAAATGGGACACGTGTCCCAGGAAAGACATTGTACTCTTATCTAGTGTTTTAATTACCAAGCAATTTGTAAAGCAGTTTCATTTTAAGAAACTAATGCCACTAATGCTAGTTATTGAGTGAAACATTTCTAACAACCAGTCTATGCTAAGCTATTTTAGCAGCTCTATTAAGTAGAATTCTGCAACCCCAAAAGATTCTTCATTTTAATGAAAGAAATTAGTCCGGGAACATCTAACAATTGCCATGAGTATCTACTGTATCTGTGGAGGTCAATTCTCTTGTTAATGCAATTTTATTCATTCAAAAGCCCCCCGCCTGCCCAATTTTTACCATATAATGTTCACTTCCAAGTAAATATTTTTAGGTTTCAACATATACATTTGGATTTGGATCAATCATGCCATGGCTGAAGTAAGGCTATACATTATGTAGGCAAAGCTACTTGTCACATTTAACAAGTCCGTCATCCCCTTTGCCTAATGGTAGCTGTTCCTCCAAATTAAAGATCAACCAAGACAGAATGTTCTTGAATGAGGAGAAGTCCTACTTTTGTACAAAGCTAAGTCCAAAAATGCTAGAGAATTCCTGAAAGCCTGATGCTAGTCAAATCAGCCATCAATAGGCACATACAGTAGAAGTAAACAACATATACCTAGAAAGTCATACGTACATATAAGATCACAAGAAGTGATAATACTGCTTATACCACACTCGCAAGGTCACAGATGGAGTACTGTGTACAGTTCTGGTTACCACAAAAAAAGATGCTGAAACTGTAGAAAATATAGAGAAGAACTAAGTTGTTAAAGGACCTGGAGGTTAAATCCTATGATGAACGGTTGAGGGAGCTAGGAGCTAGATATGTGTCTAGCCCAGCGGTTCTCAACCTTTTTAATGCTGCGACCCCCAACTGGTCGTAAGTCGAGGACTACTCAACTGCTGCAGCACCGTTTGCAGATGGGACTTTTGGCAGGCTCAGCAGGGCAGAGACAGCCTGGACAATTCCTATTGGCTTTTGAAAGCCAATAGAATTAGACTCTATTCAAGAGAGTCTATTCTATTGGCTTTCAAAAGCCAATAGAATAAAAGGGAGTAGCACAGCTAAGGAAAAGGGAGAAAAAAATGGCGGACTGCGTTGTTTGGCGACCCCTGTGAAATGGTCGTTCAACCCCAAATGGGGTCTCGACCCACAGGTTGAGAACCACTGGTCTAGCCTATCAGAAGAGAAGGATTGGGAGGGACATGATAACATATCTTCCAGTACTTAAAAGGATGAGGGTGAAAGTTTGTTCTCCAAGCTTGTGGGTTGGTTTCTGAACATTTTATTACCAGGCTAAGTAACATCTTCAGCAGAGTTTAGGGGAACAAAGAACTTTCGCCCTCATCCTGTGTAGGAAATTAGCGCGCGCGCGCACACACACACACACACACACACACACTCTAGAGGAGGCTTTCCTAGGATCAAACCATTCACTGCTCCACTACCAGGAAAACACTCCCGGCAGTTAAGTTTTATGAATGAGATGAGATACAGCACTTTTGTATCTATTGAGAAAATGAGCATTCCATTCAGTCTATTTACAGAAAGCCAGAGAGCTCCATTCATAAATCTGCCTTCAGCTACAGTTCCCACAGAAGGTGAAGCTAATGGGATTAAAAGCAGAAAAACAAAGACTCCTAAAATCTACATTCCCCACCCAGCTTCAAGGACAGGGCATGGGACCTCCCAGGCACAATGGGAGTCAGGAAACAATTATTAGAATACCAAAAAGGGCACACTCAAGCACAGGGCAAAGTACATTTCATAACAAACAGGCATTTCAATCACAAAACCCCAAAGAATGTATAAAAACCCACCTACTCTCAAACTCCATTTTGTCAGCCACCCAGGAAACATGCTGTTGTCACTAGTTTCTGGCTAACAAACAAGACCTTCCTGCAGCCAGCCTCCATTTTATTTTCAGTGTCTACCTCCCAGCTTGGACCTGATTTTTCTTCCAACAACTTGAGCTACAGATATTCATTATTGCAAACTTAAGGGGATGTCACAAAGAAGAGACTAATTTGCTCTGCAAACAACCAGAGTGCAGGACAAAAAGTAATGGGTGGATGCTTGTTAAAAAGAGATCTAACTTGGAAGTAAGGAGAAATTTTCTGGCTGTGAGAACAATTAATGGAGTAGCTTGCCTCCTGGAGAGGAGGGTGCTCCAACAATGGAGGTTTTCAGAAACAGACTGGATAGCCATTTGACCAGGAGAGCATAAGACCTGCCTTGAGCAGATTAGAAGACCTATGAGATCCCTTCCAGGCCTATTACTTTATGTTCCAATCTATGCTATTCAAAAGAGACAATCCAAAAACCAAAAGACCATAATACCTCCTAGCCAGCAGTCAACACCCAAATAAGCAGGGATTAACACTAAGTAATAATTTCTTAATCAAGGAATTACCAACTCAGTAAACAAACTAGCCTAATCTAGGAATTGAAGGTGGCCACGTATCGTAGTTTAGATGTGGTTACTTTTATAGAAAAGTCTTTCTGTTATTCCTAGAAAGCATGAAAAATTAGCCTCCCCAGAAATTACCAAAAAAAACACACTTGGTGTGGTAGGGAGGAAATGTAGCTTGGATCCCTTTGGGGTTTTGCAATCTTTATCTTCTTTGACCTCAGATTTGGGGGGTGAAGAAATCTCAATGCAATTAGGAACTTCTAATACCTTGAGATTTTTCCCAGTTTTATTTAGATTACTGATATTTGCCAATTTCCTTATCTAAAGATGGGATTTATCAGTTCCAGCCTTGGTGTCCATAACAAAGGGAAGGTTTAGGAGCTCTTTTGTCCTATTATCTGAAGTTCATTCGGAGGTCAGGGCTACCTATAGCCTCCAGATACCTTCAGATCCTGAGGTCATTGGCAGATCCGTGAGGATGACTTCTAATTCTGAGCTTTCCGTACAGATTTTAAACAATGAGGGAGAGCTTTTGAAACCTCATTTAACAAATGCACAAACTACCTATAGAGCAGTGGTTCTCAACTTGTGGGTCGGGACCCCATTTGGGGTCGAACGACCATTTCACGGTCGCCAAAGAACGCAGTCCGCCATATTTTCCCCCTTTTCCTTAGCTGTGCTACTCCCTTTTATTCTATTGGCTTTTGAAAGCCAATAGAATAGACTCTCTTGAATAGAGTCTAATTCTATTGGCTTTCAAAAGCCAATAGGAATTGTCCAGGCTGTCTCTGCCCTGCTGAGCCCGCCAAAAGTCCCATTCTGCAAACGGTGCTGCACCAGTTGAGTAGTCCTCGACTTACAACCGGTTGAGTGGTCCTCGACTTACGACAGGTTGGGGGTCGCGGCATTAAAAAGGTTGAGAACCACTGCTATAGAGGATCAAGGGTGTGTCAATTTACAGGAAGCCTGAAGGAACACTGGAAAAAAACCCCACAAATCTAGCATTTTGGGGTATATTTTCTTGATCAAAATTATCTTACTGATTTTACTTTCCAAAGGATTTGGAGCAAAAGTCTATAATCCCAGTCCCACTCAGGAAATAAGCCGCCTCAGTCTTCGCTGTTTTCAGTCTATGAGGAGGAGGGGGGGGGGGAAGCCCTAAGAAATCCTGGCTTCTTCTCTTAGCCTAAATTTAATACAGTATTTCATGGGAAAAGAGAAATGGGTTTAAAATTGTAAGGAATGCTTGTGAGTTACTACTACTTGCTTTATAATATCAATGTTTCTCAATCTGGGCAAGTTGGGCTATCTGAGGAATTCTGGGAGTTGAAGTCCACACACCCCCCCCCCCCAGGTTGGAAACCCTGCCTTACAAATGCCAAGTTGCAGAAATGGCTAAATTGGCTTGTTTGATTAAGAAAGGAAGCATAATTACTGGTATAAAAGACTGAAAGCCCTTGATGGACATTTTGCTGAAAATAGACAAAAATGAATTGGTGATTCCTGGATTTAAAAGCTTGTCTATGGGAAGAAGAGAACTATGATTAGAATATGGAAAGATTGATGTGCAATTGCTGTCTGTAACTGCCACAATGATTGGAAGTTCCTATGGGTTTTTAAAAAATTTACGTAAAATCTTCTTTTAAATAAACGTTTTTTCAAAAGAGAGAGAGAGAGAGAGAGAGAGAGAAACCAACCCTTAATTGGACTCTATTACACAAACCCTTAATTGGAATCTCTGTGGAAAGTCAGGTTGGAGAAAACTGTCTTAAGTCCTTTGCCCCGCATAAGTCAGCAGTCAAACGGCAACCTGAAATAGATGGCGGTTCCATTTACCCCGGTCTCTTAAGATAAACCTGTCCTATCTGGCTGCAAAAATCCGGGCGACCACGAAACGGAACCCACAGAAAACCTAGAAAACTCTGTTTACTGCCGCCTATTACGGGATCCGGATTTTTGCCTCCGGATTTTGAAGGACCATAGAGAGAGAGAGAGGCTGAAGAGGAAGTGGTTGGGTTCAGAACTTCACTTCAGGCTGCCGTTTGAAAGAGCCGAGGGAGACCGCGAGATAGAGCTTCGAGCGTACTGCGCATGCTCCGAAGAAAAAAAAACCCGAGGCCCGGCGTAGGACCCGGAGTAAAGATGAAGCAAAGCACAGCCGGCGTGGGAGAGGAGGCGGAAGTGCCCGACGCATCCTCGTGATTGGGTGAGAGCAGGAGGCGGGGCAAAGCCGATGAGATTCTGAGAGGGGCGCGAGCCCCGTGCTTGTCCTGCCGAGATCCCCGCGCATCCTGCCAGGTAAGGTGGGAAGTGGTGGTGGGGCGAACGGGGAGCCTTTAGCCATTTAATCAGCCCTCGCCTCTTAATTAGTGAGGCCGGGGGGGGGGTCATTTGTGGAGCCGAGCGCAGCGTGGGGGGGGGGGGCTTCACACCCATCCAAGGGCGTTTTGGCAGCCTTCCTCCCCACCTCGTGCTTCCCCAGATGCGTTGAACTACAGTGCCCAGCTGACTGGGCGTCCGGGAGTTGTAGTCCCATTCTCTGGGACTGGGTGGTATCAAGCCAAACGTTTCCTCGGGGCAGGGTTGCCCATGTTTCCTGGGCAGCCCCAACCCTGAAATTCCAGCTGAAGAGGTCGAGGCATTTGCAATCACTTATTTCTTTCTTATTTTTAATCTGATCAGGTTGGGGGGGGGGAGCGGAGGAAGTTTAGGGGCAGCTGTTTGGGGGGGGGGGTCGTTTCGGAAAGAAAGGGGATAGCGCATGTTGGAGGGTTCAGTCTGAAAAGTTTGTGTCGGGTCCTTGGTTGTTTTCTTGCAGACGTTTCATGACCGGACAAGGTAGCATCTTCAGTGCTAGCATTGAAAAGTTTCTTTTCTGGTAATTCTGAATTTTGCAACTCTTGAGAAAAGGGCTTCCGTTTCTGGCCAAGGCTCATCCCCCTAAAAGCTTTACTACCCAAAAGTCGTTTTGCAAAAGCTGAGCCTGTCCTCCTCACCCCATCCTTGGCTTGAAACTTGCCTTGGGGAGAGGAAGAAGCCTAGTGAGCTGGTGGCCCGAAAACCAGAACCCTGCTTGCTTTAAAGCAGGGGTCTTCAAACTTGGCCCTTTTATGACTTGTGGACCTCAACTCCCAGAATTCCTCAGCCAGCCATGCTGGCTGAGGAATTCTGGGAGTTGAAGTCCACAGGTCATAAAAGGGACAAGTTTAAAGACCCTTGCTTTAAAGAGCAACAGATGGAAACTTCTGGGTGGGAGAGAAGACCAGGCAGATCAGTTAAAAATTTCAGACCAAAGATATGCTCTTACATGTTTTGAACTTTCAGAGGGAGATTTCAATATTCTGCCAGCTCCTAATCCTTATTTTTGGCTACTTGCTGCAGTTGAAAGATAGGGCACACCAAACTCTTCAGTTCATTGTCTCCTTAATGCTCATTGACCCCCAACTGTTTATTATAAGACAATAATTTAAATGAATAGTTCCATAAGGTAAATATTGACCAATTTGGAGAACCCGGGGTAGACATTGATCTACACAAAAATATACCTGTAGGGAAAATAGTTATGTACTGTCTAGCAACCTTCTGTAAAGTAATATGCGTTACAGCATTATTTAATATGAGTGCACAAATTACCTTTTGTGGTCATCTTGAACATTTGACTGGATTCCATATGAATTTAATTTTGGTTTGTGCTTTGCACATATCACAGCACACTAATGTTAGAAATTAATGTGTGAGACGCCTAAAAGCCTCTGCCCTAATGAATATATTAAGCTTTTCATTGCTGTTGTATGCGCTTTTGTTTGTGTTTAGGCTATATGGAAATGAACATTTAATTTAATTGAGTAAGACATCTTAATTTGTGTAGTATCAATACCATTTGTGCAGTAGTAGTATGAAATGTTATTAATTTGATACTAATATATTTGCAAATAGCATGGGTTAGCTACTATTGCAACACAATCCATTTCCGGGAAAAGCATATTCCATGTACAGCATTAAATTGGCAGTGCTAGTAGGCCGGGCACATACACTCTGAATATTTAGGTCAGTGTGGCACAAAGAAAATAAGACTCTAAAGCTTTTCAGCTCTGCTGTATTTTCCTGGTTTCATCCTGGACTAGAAGTCAGTTTCAACCTCCATTTGACTGTTTTAATCTTGCAAGTTTCAAGCAATAAGGTCCTCGGCTGCTTTGTATTTTACCTCCCAATATTGACAATATAAACAGAAGAAAAACTCCATTGCTAAGATGGAAAAAATAGCTATTCGGTTATGAAACAAAAAAAGAAATATGATTAATATGTATTTGGATTTCTAACTATACATCTTGTCTTGGATTAAAAGCTGAAATCTATGCTAGATGAAGTGAATGCCTTTGAAGATAGATAGATAGATAGATAGATAGATAGATAGATAGATAGATAGATAGATAACCTTTATTGTCATTTTTTACTGTAGGCACAATGGCACACATTAAAAATAAAATTTAGTTGCTTGCTCTCAAAGTGTACACATACATAAAACATATTTACACATATGTCAGAAGTAAGTCTTCATCCAAGCCGCGAATAAATAAGCAACATGGTGACTGCTTTGGGAAGAAGGTTACAGTTTATTGAAGAAGCAGAAAGATGGTCCTTGCAAGAAAGAGCAGAGGAGAGGAAAGAGGAGTTGAGCACATGGGCAGTAGGTTTTTATACCCTCTCTAGCCTTGTTTGGAATAGTTTCCTGTTCCTGTGGCCTGTGGCATGAACCTCGAGACTTTTTCTGAGTGTTTTTCTAGGCCTTGATATCTGTGGTTTAATCCTATTATCATCCTGCTTCCCAGGTGATGGGGCTAACGACTCCTAGAGTTTGGGGGGGGCATGCAGATTTTCTCTGTCTCTTCAACTCTCTGATGGTTTTACATCTGCATTTGTATGGGGCTAGCTCTTGCTTGCGGCAGAGGGATAGATTTGGGGCCAAGTTTGGTTTTAAAAAGTCCTTTTGAGGAAAAATATATTTTTCTGCCCTTTTAATATTTCCTTCTCTGGGCTAACTTCCCTCACATACTATATACAACATATAAATACCAACTTTTAATATATTTTACAATTATGAACTAATTTATGCATTTCCCCCTACCTTCTCCCTGAAGTATGGCAATTATTCACAACAAAATGCATGCACAAAATAGATTTTATTTAGTCTGAGGGAATTTTATGGAGAGATTACATAGCAATATATATAATTTGGATGTGTTTGCTCCGTAATTTCAAAACGTCAAAATTCAGGAATATATCTGCTCATTGAGAGCAGTATTATGTATTGTTGTGACTTTCTGTGTAATAAAGAAGGAATAAATGGAAACAAGAATAACCCAGCCACATATATGTAAAGGTGTTTTTGTCACCATTAAGAAATGTCTCACTTAACAACATAAATGTTGGGCTCAGTTGTGGCCGTAAGTTGAGGATTACTTGTTCGTTTCCCACAATCAGGGAAAACATACCAATGGAGTTCACCAATTTGGTGTCAGTTTCAACTGTCCCCTGACTTGTCATGTTTGCTGTGACTGTAGGCTGGAAGAAGCATCTTGGATACATTTGTGAGTCCTTCTAGAATTCTGTCTCCTTTTAGACAGGTTAACCAGCCATGTTTCTTCCCAGATCATCATGGAGTTAAAACTCTGTTTATAGCTAAAGAAGACATTTATTGGGTAGTATTTATTTATTTAATATCTGGCCTTTTATTATTTTTATAAATAACTCCAGGTGGTGGATATATCTAACATTCCGTCTTCTTCCTATTTTCCCAACAAGAACGACCCTGTGAGGTGGGCTGGACTAAGAGAGAATGACTGACCCCAAAGTCACCCAGCCAGTTTTTCATGCCGAAGGCAGAACTAGAACTCACTGTCTCCTGGTTTCTAGCTGGATACCTGATTGTTAACTTCAATATCATTTTTAGTTCCATCATGGCGGACTCTAATACCTCTCCACTCAAACACTTTGTGTTGGCTAAGAAGACAATTACTGCCATTTTTGAAGAACTACTGAATTTTGTTACCGAAGGAGCAAACTTTGTTGAAGGTTGGTTTTAAGCCGGGAGGGGGGGGGGGCAGGAAAGCATATTTTGGGGAAAGTAGGGGAGATAGAAAGCAGCTGCATGAACCTTACAAAAGCTTTAATGATTCAGAAAAGTGTTTCATTCATTCTCTGGAATATTTGGGTGGTGTCCCTTTGGAAGGCATTTCACAGCTCTTTAACAGTTCTTTCTTTTGCACAGCCACAATGAAAGAAAATTCACAAATCTTTTATTGTAAATAGTGCTACAAGATGAATATAAGATTCCTTACATTTTGATTAGGCAATAAATTTCTGGCAGGTTTTTTTTAATGATAAATCTATAAAAAAATAAGCAAAAATTGTATTAGTTAGTGCCTCATCACACTTTATAACCCTGAAAAAGGCCTCTCAATATGGCAACTTAATTGTACCTTCCTAATGTTTGTGCTTTAAGTTCATTTGATTGGCTAACTGCTCCGATATCACAGAAGTATTAAAAAGGTTTAGGTTATGAAACTGAACTGTCAGAGAGAAGCTTTGAAAACTGATTCATATTCTGTGACCCCTAAACAGCATTTGATAGCCATAGTGCTTCCTCAGAAAACATTGATTTTAGTGACACCGATCAAATATAAGGAGTTTCTTAAAAGTTGACAGACAATATATGCTGCTTATCAAATATACCAGGGATAATTAGAGGTGCCCCAAATAATTCAGAATTCAAAACATCTGGCTAACTGTGTGACGAACCATAATACTTTGTTATGAACTATTAGGCCAGGGGTAGGCAACCTTGGCTCTTTTATGACTTGTGGACTTCAACTCCCAGAATTCCTGAGCCAGTCATGCTGAGGGGACAGGGAGAGAGTTCCAAGCTGAGCCATGCTGACTCAGGAATTCTGGGAGTTGAAGTCCACGAGTCATAAAAGAGCAAGGTTGCCTACCCCTGGATTAGGCCGTATCAGAATATAAAATACCAAATGTAGAACATTAAGGCTATTTGTTAGAAAGCGGCATAAAAGACATAAGTGAAGGAAAAGGCAAATCATATTTCTGTGTCACCTTTACATTTTATCCAAATTCACATGTGCAGTTCTCAACTGAATTGTTTTGTTCCAACAAAAGGTCATATGTGATTTTTGGATTCTGACCACACATGAAATGTACGTGTTTTAATGTAAGGATCCTAATAGGCTGTTTGTCTAATGTGCACTCTTTAGATATTGATCCCTCTCTGTCTTATACAGGTGACAGTCGAATAGTAATTGTGCTGTGTCCTGTAGCTGGCTCAGGCAAAATGAGAAAAACAGCCAGAGCAAGTTTCCACTTTGCCTGTTCAGACCTGATTATGTTTATGGTCCAGGCCCATAGTCCTTTGAGGACTCATAGTATTGGCACAAGGCGGTTCTTTGCGAAAAAGTTTTCCCTTAAAATTGCATGGACTTATCACATTAAATGGAAAAAGTATTGCAGTTCTGCTTTAGCCTTCTGTAACTGTTGTTTTTCTCTCTGATGACAGAAACCCACAGAAACCCAGAGCTCGAATGCATAGCTACCATGGACGAATTTAAAAAAATACAGGGCTATAAAAACAAGCTGGCCGTAATTGGTGAAGTATTAGCACGACGGCATATGAAAGTCGCTTTTTTTGGCAGGTAAGACTTGCCACTTGTGGGAATAAATGGGTGAGGTTCTTCTCTTGGGAAATAGAATACATTTCAAATTATTTCAAACACATTACTTGAGAAGCCATTAAAACCATACTTCATGAGGAAATTAAGCTTACAATCAAGGGTTACCCCAGTGCTGTTTTGTAGCCAATTTTCATTTGCCGTTGATAATTGTACAGCATAATTTCTCAGTAGATTATATCAGTCTCAGGATTTTTTCCTCCAAAAAAGGACGGAGGTTTTAATTTCAGCTGCCATTTTGACTTTTCTGACTTGCCCGTTCCAACAGATCCTCTTGCCTCTGGTACAATGCGTTTGCCATAATTGAGCTTTTACAGTGACTATGCTATCATTAGAAATGAAAACAACTTTCTACTTCTTATATACAGTATAGGTAGTTCTCCACATCTACTTGGGGGATTTATTTATTTATTTATTTCTAAAATTTATATGCCGCCCAATCCCAAGGGACTCAGGGCGGCGTACAAAATTAAAACAATATGACAATAAAACAATAAAATAAATACATTCATACAGCGTGTCGGATCACAATCTAGTTTAAAGTTCCAATGTTTGGGTACCTCCCCACAATCACATGACCACACTTCTGAGGCCCAACATTAGGCCACTTTTATGACCGTTTGCAGCACCCTGTATGTCACATGACCATGTTTTACGACAGTTTCACCAAAAATCTGCATTTAGTTCCGGCCCATAATGAATCATTGATTTGCTTACCGACCACCACAAAAAAGGTCATAAAATCTCCAATAAACTTTACAACCATCACAACATACAGCCATAATGGCCAGGCTCCATTTTGGTCACAATTGAAGGATTGCCTGTATGTTAAGCTAGGTATCTGGGCAATGTCTGCTTTTACATGAGCAATGTTGCAAAGATTTCAGTGGCCTTTCTTTGCTACTTTTCTCTCCCATCATTACCCAAGCCAAAATAAATTTAACAAAATAGTAGAAATGGGTGGGGGTAGGTATAATGGGAAGAAATTATAACCTTGAGAACAGAAAGAAGACCTGCAACCAAGACGAGTCAGATGAAAGAAATCTGAGTCTGGGGCAGAAATATAATTTGAGAAAGCATTTCAGGCAGGACCTTCCCTAATTCTTATGCAGATGAATAGAGGAGGGAAGAAGGGCATTCAGGCTTGCAAGATTCTTTTTAACTGTAACCTTATTATAAAGTTAGTATTAGCATTGGAAACGTTGATTTCCTATAGCAGGGGTCTTCAAACTTGGCTGTTTTATGACTTGTGGACTTCAACTCCCAGAATTCCTGGCTGAGGAATTCTGGGAGTTGAAGTCCACAAGTCATAAAAGGGCTAAGTTTGAAGACCCTTGTCCTATAGTCTGGTCTATTTTGAAGGACTGACAGCTGTCCTCTGGGTATATAATTCAAGATACTGACACATAAGAGAAAGGTAGCAAATGTATGCAGTTTGCTTCAGAATTAAGACTTTCTAGTCCAGTGGTTCTCAACCTGTGGGTCGGGACCCCATTTAGGGTTGAATGACCATTTCACGGGGGTCGCCAAACAACGCAGTCCGCCATTTTTTTCCCCTTTTCCTTAGCTGTGCTACTCCCTTTTATTCTATTGGCTTTTGAAAGCCAATAGAATAGACTCTCTTGAATAGAGTCTAATTCTATTGGCTTTCAAAAGCCAATAGGAATTGTCCAGGCTGTCTCTGCCCTGCTGAGCCCGCCAAAAGTCCCATTCTGCAAACGGTGCTGCACCAGTTGAGTAGTCCTCAACTTACGACCGGTTGAGTAGTCCTCGACTTACGACCGGTTGGGGGTCGCGGCATTAAAAAGGTTGAGAACCACTGTTCTAATCTGATATCTGGAATTATTGCCCAGACAATTTATAGTGTTGGCTACAATGTAAGATTTTTAAGGCTTTCCGTTCTTTTCTTGCTCCGCTGCAGAACCAGTAGCGGGAAGAGTTCAGTGATCAACGCAATGCTGTGGGATAAAGTGCTGCCTAGTGGCATTGGCCACACCACCAACTGCTTTCTCAGCGTAGAAGGAACCGATGGCGACAAAGCTTACCTGATGACTGAAGGCTCGGATGAAAAGAAGAGTGTTAAGGTAAGTCATCCAGGTCGTAGTTATCCCAAAGGGGCTTTTTCACGGGGCAACTGGACTTCCTTGTTTTTCTTTTGAAGACATTTCGCTTCTCATTCGAGAAGCTTTTTCGGCTCTTCCCAGCGGGCTTCAAAACAAGCAAAGTAAATGGGGGAAGACAGATTTGCTTCACAGCCGCAACAAAAAAAGTTTGCAAAATTGGGCGTGACCCGTTTAATGACCACATCACTTAGGAATGGAAGATCCAGTCCCGATTGTGGTCGTAAGGCAAGGAGCAATCGAACACTCAGGATGGAATGTTTTCCAATACAACATTGGGCACGTACATTTTAATGTGTTATGTAAACGGTGCTAAAATTAAGCCATCTGGGGAACAAGGCTTGATGTGTGTTGAAAAACATGTGTGCTGTTATTCAAGATGGATGCAAGCATTAGTATGTTACTTATTTAGTATGGCTTAATTTTACTCTCTTTATGTGTGATTTTAGAATTAGAGAAAGTTCCATAGACAGAAGATAAAAGAATTGATAAGGACAATTTTTTGGGGGGGGGCAAACTGTGGCTCATGGTTCTTTTTAACAAGTAAGTCACCACTAACTCAGATTAGACATTGCAGTAAACCAAAACTAAGCAAAGCATATCAGGGATTAGTCTGTTGAGTAAGCTTAACCAGTCCCTATTAGAGGTTAGAATTCCACATTGCAGAGAATATGCATTAAAATCATACTCTACCTGTTTCTATCAGGCCAAGGTAATTCCAGAGCTCCACATGAACTGCCCATGTAGCATGTAGATTATTGTACTGCTTCAGTGAGTACATGTGCTTGGTTTTTCACCAACCCTTGTGCTATAAGCCACATCTCTTGTGAGAGGGAATTCAGAATGTCTTTGCTCATCTCTGCAGCCTCGCTCCTAATTTGACTTTCCCCAAATATTGGCTGATTTTCCATGAGCGAAGCAATATTTCTTCCCATGTACTTCCTCCTATGCGATGTTAAAATCCAGGCCCCAGTTGTATTTGGAAGACCAGAGGGGAGGGGGGGCCCTTCCTGTCCTTGCTCTTTTGAAAGAAGCAGTGATATTAATGTAAAGATCCCTTTGGCTTTTATTTTATTTGCATCAGCTTGGGAGTGGGGAATTCTAGTAACCCAAAAAATTAGATCCTAGAAATGTCAGTGGAGACTCTCAGCCATCCAGCTCATAATTGTCCCAAAGATACTTTTTCAGGAGGTAATTGGGCTTTCTTGGTTGGTTTTTTTTTTTTTTTTTGAAGACGTTTCGCTTCTCATCCAAGAAGCTTCTTCAACTCTGACTGGATGGTGGGGAATGGAAGGACTTATATTCCTTGCAGACAGGTTTGCATTCTTTCTACTCAAGGACTCTCTAAAACAGTGGTTCTCAACCTTTTTAATGCCGCGAACCCCCCCCCAACCGGTCGTAAGTTGAGGACTACTCAACTGGTGCAGCACCGTTTGCAGAAGGGGACTTTTGGTGGGCTCAGCAGGGCAGAGACAGCCTGGACAATTCCTATTCGCTTTTGAAAGCCAATAGAATTAGACTCTATTCAAGAGAGTCTATTCTATTGGCTTTCAAAAGCCAATAGAATAAAAGGGAGTAGCACAGCTAAGGAAAAGGGGGGAAAAATGGCAGACTGTGTTGTTTGGTGACCTCCGTGAAATAGTCTTTCGACCCCAACTGGGGTCGTGACCCACAGGTTGAGAACCACTGCTCTAAAAGAATGCAAATGACCAGATGTCTGCAAGGAGTATAAATCCTTCCATTCCCCACCATCCAGTCAGAGCTGAAGAAGCTTCTTGGATGAGGAGCGAAACGTCTTCAAAGAGAAAAACAAGAAAGTCCATTTGCCTCCTGAAGAAGCACCTTTGGGATAGATCCTAGAAACTTGGTTTGTTGCTGCTTCAGATAATATTCAAGTGTGTTCAAGTTCTCGTGCCACTGACTTTATCCTAACATGTTCTTTCTTTCTTTGCAGACAGTTAATCAGCTTGCCCATGCACTGCATATGGATAAAGACTTAGAAGCTGGTTGCTTAGTTCATGTCTTTTGGCCTAAAACCAAATGTGCTCTCTTGAGAGACGACTTGGTCTTAGTAGACAGGTATGACTCTTTTGGATTCAGTCTAAAGGTGCCACAAGATACTCTTGTCTTTCTTTTAAACACACACTCTCCATCTTGGCTGTTTTTTTTTCCTTCTGAAATGCCAGATGAATCACAACAGGTGACCTCTTGAAAGAAACTGGGGGAGGGGGAGAAAGAGAAAGAATCTGTTGAAAAGGAACAAGTCCACACAAACACACACACACACACAAAGTAGACCTTAAATTCTAACAAGATCAATTGTTGTGATATGGAGTATACAGGTAGTCCTCGACTTATCACCATTCATTTAGCAACGGTTCGAACTTAGAACAGCATTGAAAAAGTGATGTACAATCAATCCCTACACTTAGGATTGTTGTAGCATCTCTATGGTCATGTGATCAGGCACTTGGCAACTGGCATGTATTTATGATACTTGCATTGTCCTGAGGTCACGTGATCACTAGAGGGGACCTGCTGCCAAATGGCAACTTTTAATGTATCAGAAATGTATGATTTCAAAAATAATGATTTCCACTCTATTTAATTTCAAATAATAGAAGAAATTAATTTCAGTTTTGGTTTTAGTCTGATATGCCACTCATGGGCCAAATAAGGCCTTATTCAGCCTCAACTAATTTGCGAGTTCTTTAATTCCTGATGTATTTTTAAGAGGGATAGAATCTTAAAAAGGAACCAAAACTATGAATTTGTAGTTGTAAAGAGCATGTCAGAGACTGTGTAGGAGTTCAGCTTCAGATGGTGAAAATAGCACACATCCGAAAAGACTGAGCGGTTAAGCCAACTCTAGACTGCAGCTTAATATCCTGGCTTGTTTAGAAACTTTTCATCATAGGATCTAAAGAAAGGAACTTGTAATGAATGGAAATCTTCTTGACTTGTTTGTTGAGACTCTAGAAAGAGTACAGAGGGGAGCAACAAAGATGAGTAGGGAACTGGAGGCTAAAACATAAAGAACGGTTGCTGGAATTGGGTATGTCTAGTTTAACGAAGAGAAGGACAAGGGGTGACATGATAGCAGTATTCCAATATCTCAGGGGCTGCCACAAAGAAGAGGGGTCAACCTATTCTCCAAAGCACCTAAAGACAGGACAAGAAGCAATGGATGGAAACTTAATTAAGGAGAGAAGCAACTTGGAACTAAGGAGAAATTTCCTGACAGTGAGAACAATTAATCAGTGGAACGGCTTGCCTTCAAAAGTTGTGGGTGCTCCATCACTGGAGGCTTTTAAGGGGATACCAGACAGCCTATTTGAGCAGGGGGTTGGACTAGAAGTTCTTCAAAGCCCCTTCCAAGTCTGATGATGTTCTGTGTTCTAAGTATGGCCAAAAACACATTCAGAATTTATCTTACTAAGCTATGATTGTGTTATGTGTTTCCATATTTGTCTACATTTTCAACTCCCTCCCCTCATTTCATAGTCCAGGTACTGATGTCACCACAGAGCTTGACACCTGGATTGACAAATTCTGCCTGGATGCCGATGTTTTTGTTTTAGTTGCTAATTCAGAGTCAACCCTCATGAATACAGTAAGTCTTCATCTTTTTTAAGTAAGCCCTTCATTTGTTTTATTCATGTTTCCTCTTCTCAAAGTAAGAGGTATCCTGTTTTAATAGTCATAAGAACCCTCTAAGTTTGAGGCAGCTAATCCAACAGTATGTTGTAGGTATGAAATATCTCTATCGAGGATCTTTATCTGCTTTTATTAAATGTGTTGTTCCACTTCATTCTTCTAAGCTAGCATAGTGAATATTCCTATCAGCTGATTCATATTGGGGAAATCTTGAATTAAAAATATTATTATCTTTCATTTTCTCACGGCAATATTTTCCCCTAATTTTTTGATGTTACGGGTAGCCCTTGACTTTTGATCACAACTGGGAGCAGAATTTTCATCATGAGCTATTGTCATTGTAAGCAAGTCGGACCCAAATTTATGGCAGTTTTTACAATGGTCATTAAGAGAATCACCATGGTTATTAAGAGAATTACCATGGTCATTGAGCAAATCCAACTCGCCCAATGGGCTTTTTCTTGCCAGAAATCAGCAAAAAAGATCACAGATCATGATCATGTGACTGCAGAATGCTGCAACCAGTTGTAAATGCAAGCTAGTTGCCGTGCCCGAATTGCAATCGCGTAACTGGGGGGGTGATGTGACAGTCATAATTGTAAGTACTAGTCATAAGTCATTTTTTCCAAGGCCGTTGTAATATTGAACTTTCATTAAACAAACAGTCATAAGTCAAGAACTACCTGTTTGTGGCTTGCTATTTTGAGTGGGAGACTGTTCTAACTTCTTTGGTTTCTTAATGCTGTTGCTCCTTGTTAAAGCTTTTTCTGTCTTTGCCACATTGATGACTAAATAATTCTTCTTTTGAATTGTGTGGGATAATCTCAACATTAGCACAAAACAGGTTTACTGATTTTGCTGAGCAATAAATGTTCACTTTGGAATTAATTCCACTGTATTCATTTTGAAGCTCAATCTTGAGGTGTGCACTGGACTGCAGATTTTTTGTGCAAAAAGACATTTCTTCCCTTCTGAAAAGAAAACCTAGAGTGTCAAATTTGAAGAGAAAAATTATAGATAGGGTATAAATTATAGGATATAATTATAGAGTATAACTATAAATTACAGGGTAGATAGGAGCTTTTCAGAGACTCCTGTTTTTGCTCTCTGTTTTATCTTTTGTAGTTGTTCCTTTTCATTTCTGATTATTTCTAATTTTAAGCTTCTTTGGAAGATTTTACACAGTGGAAAAATAACACAGGAATTCTTTAATCCTTAACTGGAAAAAGTATCATCTTTACAAAGTAAAACATCATATAACCTGGAAATGTATTCCGACAGAACGTAAATCAAAGGTCAGCGTGACCATTTTCGATTAGATGCCTGCTGCTGAATGATCAATTTGAATGAAGTTAGGAGATTGTGTTAAGTATCTTCTTTGCACTTGGATCCCAGACAGAATTATGACTCTTTGAATCTGCGAGTCAATTAAAACCCAGAAATCTTTATTTCTGAAGTGAAGTTCGAAAGCTCCCTGGTGGCTTGTCTAAGGCTTGTCTAATCTGAAAGACAGGAAGTAAAATAAAGTAAAAAGGGGAGATCAAATGCTATTTCAAGCATCAGTTCTTAAAATGATTGTGAATAGTTCTTCTGTGGGCCTCTGAGAAGCAGTTCTGCAGAAGAAGGAAAGTAATGAAGCTGTATTCTTTGCCAAGTTGATGAATAACTAGCTGTTCCCCAAAGGTCTTTCAATAGATCTGTGTCTATCTATACTGACTCTACCATAAATTAAGGGATTACAGAGTCGTAAAAAGGGAGTTTATATATAGATCCATATTTATATCTCTCTATTTTAGGAGAAACAGTTTTTCCACAAAGTGAACGAAAAACTTTCTAAACCAAACATTTTCATCCTGAACAACCGCTGGGATGCTTCTGCATCAGAACCTGAATACATGGAAGATGTGAGTTACAGATTTGTAATTTTCTTGGAAAAGGCAGTTTAAGGGGTGCTTAGATTGGTACTTAAGACTTCAAATTTATTTAGGGTGACAGTCATAAATTCAGAGATTATCTTTCCAAAGTAAGCCACTCAACAGGTGGTATAGAGAAATTAGAAGTTGCTTTTTGTGTTTTGTAAATGGATGGGAGACTGATTGATGATCCTATGCACTATCATTGTCATTTTGCAGGTCCGCAAACAGCACATGGAGCGTTGCCTAACTTTCTTGGTGGATGAGCTCAGGGTTGTGGACCGTTCTGAAGCCCAAAATCGAATTTTCTTTGTTTCAGCCAAGGAAGTTCTCAGTGCAAGGAAACACAAAGCTCAGGGCATGCCTGAGGGAGGTGTGTGTTGTACGCTAGATCCACTTTCTGGTGGTCATAGTCCTTAACCTCTTCTGAAGGTTGGCTGTTTTTCCCCCCAGAAGCATCCATGTTTAAAAAGAGTCCTGCATCTTCAAGAAATGCCTGTTCATCAACTCTGTTTTGTGCTCTTGTAGGTGGTGCAATCGCCGAGGGATTTCAGACACGGTTCCAGGAATTCCAGCACTTTGAAAAAATATTTGAGGTAATCTTCCAGAGTATCGTAAGTCAGATTGAATGGACCTATGTATATGATATCATCCATAGATCTGTTCATTCCAGGATTATCTCCAGAAACAAATTTATCATGAGCTTAGTGTGTTTGCTTAGAGAGTCAGAAGAGAGCTACATTGAAATAATTATGACTCTTACATTCAGCTATCCTTCTGCTAAGGATGTTGCATTAGTGCAACGTATAGTTCCATTCTCTTCCTGTGACTACCTTGTACATCAGAAAGCCAAGAGAACCCAACTGTTTTTCTATTATGGAGTAATGAAGATACTTCTAGCTTAGGCCTATAAAGGGTCTATGCTATCCAGGTCTGAAGTTTTTTTTTCCCTGGGGAAACACTTTTTTTTTTTTCAGATTCAATCCTAAAAAAACATGACATAATTGATTTCTTTCTCTCCCCCTAAATGTTTTCCTCTGAGTATGGTAACAACGGATGTACTTCCTGTATCCGATACTTGGCAGCCAAGTATTTGTATTATAATCATTCTTAAAATGCTTCTGGGGTCTGCAGGACTAGCAGCCAATGGTAAGGGATGCTCTTCATTATAGTGTGGGAAAATTTGGAGGATCACCATTTCCTTCCTTGTTCTAGAAGGCAGCAAAGGTTGATATGTGATATCACAGAAAAAGCATTGCAAGTCTTACAAAATAAGGACTAGCCTGATCCTTGTTGGCTTCCGTGAGACCCTTAATGCCATTTTATTTTAGTAAAGCTGGCTAAAAAAGGAGAAGCTGGATGTATTGTTGACTATCATTGATCTTGCCACCATGTCATATTGACTGTCATTGATCTTGCCACCATGTCGTATTATTGCTTTGTCTTTTTTGTGGCAGTCCAGCCAGCATCACCATTGATTGAGGTAGTTTGCAAATACCGTTTAAGATGTAAAAGAGGAGGAGGAGACGTACCACAATCATGATTCAGTTCCTGTCAAGCTTCGGGGATTAAATTCTTGACTAAGAAGGAACTTGAGTGTCCTCTCGAAAGAACTGTAGTGTTATGAATGCTTTGCTAATGCCTTTTCTAGGAACACAACCCAGAGTCTTCTCTTTGCGTGAAAATCAATTCTCTATGGAGAAATATGGAGCGGGTGGAGTGGAGGAAAATTTGAAAAAAAGGGCTGAAAGACAGTAGACATCTACAGGAGGAAAAACTAACCAACTCAATAGCCAAGCAGCCTGCAGAGCTGTAACGGCGCAGTGGTTAGAATGCAGTACTGCAGGCTAACTGCATTCCACTGCCAGGAGTTCGATCCTGACCAGCTCAAAGTTGACTCAGCCTTCCATCCTTCTGAGGACTGGTAAAATGAGGACCCGGATTGTTTGGGGCAATATGCTGACTCTGTAAACTGCTTAGAGGGTACTATATAAAGCACTATGAAATGGTATATAACCCTAAGTGCTATTGCTATTGTGATACAGTAGATGTGATCATTTATCATCTCTAAGTCCTGAAGGACCCATGATCAACATCACAGAAGGAAGTACTTAGAAGTGTTCCATCTTTTTGTTTGTTTTGCTTTAGGATTGGCGGTCAGCTTAGAAAGCCAAAACTCCTGTATTAAGGCAGGCCTCCCAAAGCCCAGGGAATGGGGCCTACTAGCCAGCCATTCAACTGCCCTCTTTTAGCTGGGCCAGGCTAGAGACAAACTCTTGAACTGTTGATTGGAAGGGGGTCCAAGCATCTCTCTGTCCTGATCTTGTCAATGAGGGGGATTGTTTGAACTGATTGTCTGCCTTTTATTATTTTCTCTCTCTTTTTCATCCCTGAGGTATGGCTAATGCTTCCTATAGCTTCCTACTATTTACTTGTTGTACAGTCTGCCTTCTACCTGTTAGCTGACCTGGAATTGGACTTCTCTGCGAATCTTGTCTAGCTCTAACAATGTGCTCTTGTTAACGTGAATCACTTGCTTTTTCATTGCTGATTTCTAGACCTACTTCGTCGAGCGTAATGGCTCTTGTCTATTATTTCCATTTTATATTTCCTTTGTTTCTTACTCTTCTTTTGCCAGTAACCCTTATTAATTTAAGGTTGAGAGTGTGAGCTGCAATTTTAAGTTCTGTTAGGATACATTCAGGAGTCTAGGAGAATACAGTGAAGAAGAAAACCAGCTCTTTCTTTTGGTAAACAAGTGAATAAAATATTCAAGGTTTTACTGAACAGCTAGTAACTCTTCAGATGTAAGCCTGTACCTTCTTAATTGAATAGACCCTATTCCAGGGGTCTTCAAACTTGCCCCTTTTATGACTTGTGGACTTCAACTCCCAGAATTCCTCAGCCAGCGTGCCTGGCTGAGGAATTCTGGGAGTTGAAGTCCACAAGTCATAAAAGGGCCAAGTTTGAAGACCCCTGCCCTGTTCCTTCAACAAAGGATTTTCAAGTATTTAAAGAGTCATCATATTCCTCATGCTGCTATAACAACCTGAAGGTGACATTTAGCCTAAGCTGACCAGAGAATAAACTAGAACAGCGTTTTTCTCAATCTTGGACACTTAATGAAGGGTGGACTTCAACTCTCACAATTCCTCAGCCAGCATGGTTAACTGAGGAATTCTGGGAGTGAAGCCCACCCACCTTCAAATATTCAAGGTTGAGAAACACTGAACTAGAAGATCTCCATCCCAATGATGACCCAGTTGTGTCTACACAGACTTTTTGGCTACCTTGTCTTTATATGAATAACATAAACATCTTTATTTATTACACTTAACATGAAAACTTCACTTGTAGAATTTCTAGATGGCTTTCTTCCATGAGCATAATCAGATTATAGCACCAGCTAACCCTAACCCTAACCCCTTAACCCTAACCCCAGATCAATGTGTCTTCAGCCTGTGGCATGTGGGAGATACTCCAGCTACTATGTATGGATGCAGGAAGTATTAATCCATTTATCTTTCCCCTTTCCGTGGTTTTTGGGTAAGAAGCATCATGCAGTGGTAGGGTAGGCTGGTCCTCAGTATGGACTAGGAGTGATGGAGACTCCGGAGAGCCAATCCTAAGGTAGATGGTTTTGCATCAGATAAGACTAATAGTTAACCCAGCTACAATCCATATCATTCAGAAACCAAAGCTGACAAGTACTCGTAGCTGCAGACTTTCAAAAACGCATTCACAAGGAAATCCAGATGCATTTATCTAGTCACAGTCGTCGTAATTGCAGAATATACACTGTCCACAGTGTATGTAAAAACAAGTCAAAATGGCAGCCGCTGTGGTGCAGTTGAAGCTCCTCCCACTTTTCATGTGCCTGCGGACATTTCTCATATATGCATTCTCATTTTCCCACTAGCTTCTCGGGAGTGCATCTGAACTGTAATATAAATCACCTGCAGCAGGCAGTTCTGTGAGATTCCAAAATACTTGTGTTAAGTGGATTTTTTTTTTTTTTGTTAATTGTTGCCTTTATCGTTCTGTTACTTCCTACACATTACTGTTAGCTAAACGGTAGAAGAGAGCGGAATTTCACTGCTCTGGAGTTGGGGTTTTACTTGCTGCTTGCCTTCTTTTTTTTGTTCTTTATGTTTTGTTTTTCTCCCCCACCCTCTTTGCTTTATTTTATACCTATGTGTATCTATAACAGCATCAGAGCGTTCTCTGAAAGCTCAAAATTCCCAAGTGTTTTGATGATGGAATTGCAGTAATGTGTTGTGACTTGGGCCCCTCGCAGGAGTGTATCTCGCAGTCAGCTGTGAAAACCAAGTTTGAGCAGCACACTATCAGAGCTAAACAGATCCTTGAGACTGTGAAAAACATTATGGACAGCGTAAATGTGGCAGCAGCCCATCAAAGGTAGGCCTTTCCTGTTGTGTTTGCCCTGTTGCCCAAAACTGGACAAAGCCACCAGGTTGCAATGACCTTTCTCCCGTTAGTAGGGGGTGAGTAGAGCTGATGAGGAAAGCAGGTTTTGAGACCCTTGCCTCTGATACTGGATTTGCCTGTTGCTGAGTTCCTGTAGTCACATGGAAACACAAAACAGTCTCCAAGTCACGTTCATTGTTGTTAACGCTATTTCTGTACCACCCTTACTTCATTGGGGAGCTCAGGTTGTTTGCAGGTGAATGATAATTTGAAAACCTTTAAAATGGGTTGCCGGTTTGGTGTAGTGATTAAGATACCAGATTGGAAACTGGGAAACTGTGAGTCCTGCCTTGGGCAGGAAGCCAGCTGGGTGACCTTGGGCCAGTCACTCTCTCTCAGTCCTAGGAAATAGGTAATGGCAAACCACTTCTGAAAAACATTGCTAAAAAAGCTACAGGAAATAGTCCAGACAGTTGCCAAGAGTCAAAAACTGACATAGGCACTAAATATATAAATATTATAGGGTAGAATCATAGAATCATTGAGTTGGAAGCTGAGCCTGGATGTCAACTAGTCCAACCCTCAATCTTTAACAATAAACACATTTTAAAGGCGGGGGGAAGCATTTTTTTTTTCTTTTTACAACCCTGTAATCCATTAATTCAGCATAGAGTCGGGATGACTGAGTGGCATCGGGGCAACTGAGTAGAGCTGAGCATTTACTGGTCAGATGCCCTTCCTGATACCTACATGGAGTTCCCGGCAGATGTTTTTTCTCTGTGCCCTGAGAGAGACACATCTGCCAGCTAACTAGGATTGAACTCTCAACCTTCTGAGTGGGAGGCGAGTGTCTTCACCACTAGGCCACCATCCCACTCACAGTCCTAGAAAGCAATCAAAGTACAAAAAATAAAGTAAGATTCTTTTTAGAAAAAGGCAGGCTAGCTCTGGAAATATCTGAGTGAAGGAGTCTTGGCTACCGAATCCAGCCACATGTCCGTTACAAAAGGAATATGTGTTTGCTCTGTCTGTATCCCTGGCCCTCCATCCACACTCCACCTCCAGGCCCTGCCTCCCAAGCTAATTAATGGCTGGTTTCTTTTCCCTCCCAGATAGGGACTGAACTGCAACTTTGGGTCACACAATAATCAAAAGATATACGTGTCCCTTTAACACAGGGGTGTCAAACTCAATTTCATTGAGGGCCGTATCAGCATTGCGGTTGCCCTCGGGGTGTGTGTGGCCAGGGTGGGCGTGGACAGAGTTGGTGTGGCGTATTGGGTAGGCATGGCCAGCTCTACGTCGTTCGCGTCAAGGGTGCCTGTGGGGGCCTGGGCAGGAGTGGGACAGATCTGAGGGTCTCTGGCAGAAGGGGGTGGGACCAGGGCAAGCGCCAAGGCATGGTCCACTGAAGGAGCCTCACTGCCTGCTGAAACCCCTCCGCCAGAACCCCTCAAGCCGCATATGTGAAGTAGGCGAGGGCCATTTGCTGGCCACTTCCAGGCAATGGTGCATTTCTTCATTCCTCACAAAGGGTGACACCTCCCCAGCATGCACCCAGGGGGCGGGGCCAACACAGCAGGGGCTGGTTCCTCACTGTTTCCAGACGGCCTTGTGGAGCTAAGACTGAATGAATTTCAGCATAGATGGCCACCACAAAATTGTACATTGGTGGCCTATGCCAGGGCTAAGGCAGCGGGGGCCATTCTCTCACTGTTTCCAGGATGGCTTTGCGGGCCACATGAAACCACTTCACGGGCTGCATCTGCCCCCGGGCCTTGTATTTGACATGTCTGCTTTAACATAAACCTTAAGCAGATTGTTTAAAGGAGCAGAAGTAAGACCAGAGGAGAAACACAGTCTTAAAACTTGGTTTGAGCTGCAAATTTGAGTTGGTCTCCTTGCCCTTCGTTTTGCCTGGAATCTAGCTAGCAGGGTTGGTAGCCCTATTATTAGGCTGAGCTTATGTCCGCTAGAGGCTGATGGCTGCTTTCCTCCTGCCTTAGAGTGCATTCAATGGAAGAACGAGAAGACCACAGAGACAGGCTGGACTTCGTACGAAACCAGCTCAACCTTTTAACAGACGAGGTTAAGAAGAAAATTAAAGATGTAACAGAAGAAGTTGCCAACAAGGTAAATAGCCAAGAGAACTGTCCTGGATCCCTACCTCCATTCATGGCACTCAGTTTTCCACACGCCTCCAGAGCAGTAATCGTGGGTGTGTGAATCCATAACTTAATAGATTCGTCAGGGCATTACTAAACCTTTAGCTATGTCGGTACCTGCTGGACCGCTCCAAAATGAACATAGGTTAAGACAGTGTTTCTCAACCTTGACCATTTTAAGGCATGTGGACTTCAACTCCCAGAATTCCACAGCCAGCATTGCTGGCTGTGGAATTCTGGGAGTTGAAGTCCACATGCCTTAAAATGGTCAAGGTTGAGAAACACTGGGTTAAGGCGTGGAGTTCTCTTGAGTGATTTGAGTTAGGCTACTATCCTGCAACCAAGTCTTTCCTCCACCCCTTTTATTTTGGAAGCCATTACTGGTCTACCCTGCAGGGCTCTAAAAGAGGGTGTCAGGTGGTAGGGAAAAGATGTCACTCACCTTTCCTCGTGTTTTCTAGGTGTCTTCTGCCATGACTGATGAAACTCGTCGGCTTTCTGTTTTGGTAGATGAGTTTAGCTCCGATTTCCATCCGTCTCCACAAGTTTTGAAACTTTACAAAAGCGTAGGTTCTGCCATTGGCTTTCTGCTCCTTGGCTAATGTTGATTTCTATGGATTGTTTTGTGTGTGTGTGTGTGTGTGTGTGTGTGTGTGTGTGTGTGTGTGTGTTTTATACTCACATATCAGCTACTTGAGCATCATATGCACTAATTCTTGTGATGTTAATATGTTAATACCGGTCAAAGTTACATAAACTCGCCTTGTGTTGTTTTAGTACTGGGGTCCTCAACCGTGGCAACTTTAAGACTTGTGGACTTCAACTCCCAGAATTCCTCAGCCAGGCATGCTGGCTGAGGAATTCTGGGAGTTGAAGTCCACAAGTCCTAAAAGGGCCAAGTTTGAAGACCCCTGGAATAGGATCTATTTGATTAAGAAGGTACAGGCATCTGAAGAGTTACTGGCTGTTCAGTAAAACCTTGAATATTTTATTCACTTGTTTACGAAAAGGAAGAGCTGGTTTTCTTCTTCATTGCATTCTATGGCTCACATATCAGCTACTTGAGCATCCTATGCACTAATTCTTGTGATGTTAGTATGTTAATATCGGTCAAAGTTACATAAACTCGCCTTGTGTTGTTTTAGTACTGGGGTCCTCATGGCAACTTTAAGACTTGTGGACTTCAACTCCCAGAATTCCTCAGCCAGGCATGCTGGCTGAGGAATTCTGGGAGTTGAAGTCCACAAGTCCTAAAAGGGCCAAGTTTGAAGACCCCTGGAATAGGATCTATTTGATTAAGAAGGTACAGGCTTGCATCTGAAGAGTTACTGGCTGTTCAGTAAAACCTTGAATATTTTATTCACTTGTTTACGAAAAGGAAGAGCTGGTTTTCTTCTTCATTGCATTCTATGGATTGTTGTGTGTGTGTGTGTGTGTGTGTGTGTGTGTGTGTGTGTTTTACTCACATATCAGCTACTTGAGCATCCTATGCACTAATTCTTGTGATGTTAGTATGTTAATATCGGTCAAAGTTACATAAACTCGCCTTGTGTTGTTTTAGTACTGGGGTCCTCAACCGTGGCAACTTTAAGACTTGTGGACTTCAACTCCCAGAATTCTGGGAGTTGAAGTCCACAAGTCTTAAAGTTGCCACGGTTGAGGACTCCTGCTTTAGTAAAAGGAAGGGAAAAAAAATCTAGATTCATGGTAAAGCTCATGATCTTCTTTTCACCAGGAACTCAGCAAGCACTTAGAGGAAGGATTGGGAAGGAATCTGGCAGACCGGTGCTCCAGTGAAGTCAACAACTCCATGCATCAATCCCAGCAAGAAATTATTGGTAAAGGAGAACAAATAAATGCTGCCCTTTTTTTTTTTCCCCTCAGGCTGCCTATTTGGGTTGCTGTATATCAGTGTTTCTCAACCTTGACAATTTTAAGGCATGTGGAATTCTGGGAGTTGAAGTCCATATGCCTTAAAATGGTCAAGGTTGAGAAACACTGCTGTATATTGAATTCAAGAGCCAACCCTTGCCTTTAGTTTTGGGCCTTCTTAAGTAGGTCTTTGGGCCCAGGCGTCTGGGGAGACATGCATGCTCGTCTCTCTATTTCTGGAAATGGGTTTAATGTGCTTTTCCCCCCCCTTGTACTCCATGCTTTATTTTTATTTTTTATTTTTTTTAGAAAATCTGCAGTCCCTGTTGCCTTCAGAGGTTCAGAACAAGCTCCATTTGCTGATTCCGTGCCGGCAGTTTGACTTGAGCTACGATTTGAATTGCAACACCCTTTGCTCAGATTTTCAAGAGGACATCACCTTTCGCTTTTCCCTGGGCTGGGCGGCTCTTGTTAGTCGCTTCCTAGGAACTCAACACGCTCACCGGGTTCTGCTGAGCATGGCCGAACCCGCTCTTGCAGTGAGTGCCTCGGAGGGTTTTGTTCCATGTATGCAAAGGGCAGAGTAGATTTGAGTATTGCCAATGGTCGTTCCGTAGACCAGTCACAGCTCGTGATGGTGAACCGCTCCCAGAAACAGGGACAGGGAATCTTTTGTTGTTCCTAAGCGCCACTGGTTTTGCTTGACTGTTCAGATGGATGCCTCTGATGAAACAGCAGGATATCATTTTGCACAGAGAACGAGCCTCTTCCCCAAAGTTGATGCACTGTATGTCTTCAGAGGCACCCACAGTAGCTAGCATTTGATTGGCTCATGAATGCACGAACGGACAGCCCTTATTACAAACCCAGCTGTCTCCCATTTCCCTAATGCACAGTTAAATCTCCTAAAGCTTGGGAGAAATGCTTGGTCCTTTAAAGCAGAGCTCCCCAACCTTTCCAGCTTGGCGGCCCAAAAGGAAAAGGAGAAGCAGGGAAACATGCACGCACGCGGCCCTGCATGTGCATGCGCAAACGGGTGTGTGCAAGGTGGCACTAGCACACGCACATACAACCCCCACACATGCGCAAGCGGGCCACTGGCACCTGCACGCATGCGCAAATGAGCCGCTGGCGTCCGGGTGATGCTGGCAGCGATACTAGCCCCCCCCCATGCAATACGCAAATGGGATGCTAGCACCCATGCGGTGGCACTAGCGTGATTGGGGGTGCGCACACACGTGCGTGCTCGCACCAGCCATTCACGCGGCCCCCTGGCCAAGAGGCCACAGCCCATAGGTTGGGGATCCATGCTTTAAAGCCTTGCGGAAGGCTAAAAGTGTCGAGGCCTGATGAATGTCAGGGGGCAGAGGGTTTCACTGGGCAGGGGCTGCCACGGAAAAGACACGCCTCTTAGCTCCCATCAGACGATAATATTTAAGGGAAGGAACTTAGAAACGTGCCCACCCTATCTGACTTGATAAGGCGGGTAGATGTCCTTAGAGCAGGGCTTCTCAACCTTGGCAACTTTAAGACTTGTGGACTTCAATTCCAAGAATTCCTCAGAGGTGTTACATGGGAAAACCTAGGGGCCCCTTTAACCCGGGGTCTTCAAACTGGGCCCTTATGACTTGTGGACTTTGACTCCCAGAATTCCTCAGCCAGTGTGTCTGGCTAAGGAATTCTGGGAGTTGAAGTCCACAAGTCATAAAAGGGCCAAGTTTGAAGTCCCCTGCCTTTACTGTGCGCGCTGCTACATTCTGAACCAGGCAAAGTTTCTGAGTGGCCTTCAAGGGCAGTCCCATCGTGTAGAGCGCAATGCAGTAGTCCAGAGAGGAGGTGACCAAGGCATGAGCATCCGTGAGCAACTGGAGTTTGCGTTCTTCTTCCCTAGATTCCCAGGTCTCTTGCCTCTACTCCTTGCACTAGTGCTCCCAGTCTAACCCCGGAGAGTGCCTCGCAGGAGGAGCTCATGGTCTCCTTGATCACCAATCTGGCATCGTTGACATCTCGGACTTCCATGACGGTTCTCATCCTCGGTGGTCTGGTGAGTACCACGACTGTCTCTGCCTTAATGGGGAAAAGTGTGCACTGTCTTCTGCCAGCCCTTTCCGCTTGAAACGCTTCTCTTAAGCCAGCTCTACTGATCAGGGTTAAGATCTGTTGATCTTCCCCGGGTCTGAGCCTACCCCATCTTTTCCTAAGCAAATTTCACAAAGCTTTTATTAGATGGATAGCAAGGTGAACTCTTAGCTATAGAGCAGGGGCGTCAAACTGCCGGCCTTCGGGCCGGATGCGTCATCCAAAAGCCGCACCACCCCATTGCCGGCAATGGCAAAACCGTCCCGATACGTCACGTGACATCACGAGTTCGACATGTCTGCCATAGAGGGACAAAACTGTTTTGTTATATAGCAAAGTCACATTATACGGGTACAGGAGTCATTATCCCATCAGATAACTTTTTTTCTCTAGCCATGCAGTTAAGAGCAGAGCCATTGCTCTCAATAGCTGTGATTTGGGCTTGCGAATTCACCCTCCTGGACACCGGTAGATCCTTTTTTAACAGAAAATAGGAAGCTCTCAAGTTAAGTATAGACAGGCTCCCTAAAGTGAGCAGTCCTCACATGTATCTAAAGAGAATTTCCCTGTTTGAAAGATGCACATGAAAAAGTGGAAAGTCTCTTTTGCAGTTACAAAAATTGAAACAGTGGGCCATTATTAGCTCTTATCTACTTGCCGTGAGGTGCAGTTCCTCTACCTCAGTGTTTCTCAACCTTGACAATTTTAAGGCATGTGGACTTCAACTCCCAGAATTGCTGGCTGTGGAATTCTGGGAGTTGAAGTCCACATGCCTTAAAATTGTCAAGGTTGAGAAACCCTGCTCTACCTCGAAGCTACCACTCACTCACTGTCTTAACTCTTTTTTTATATAAAAGTGCCATAGTGAATGTTTTTTTCTTCTGTTCATGGTTCCTCTGCAAAATGCTGCCCTTGTTTCCGTCTCAAATTGTTAATAACTCGAGATTGTTTTTAAAATTCTATGACAGATATACAGTAATCTTATAAGTAACTATCCTTTTAAAAAAAGTAGCAACCCTTCAGATTAAAAAAAACAGAAATATTACCTTAATAAGCCAACATCTATTGAGTAGTCAGTCAGCTTTGTATTTTAAAAAAAAACATAACTCAGACTGAAAAATTAGGGTCTCATATCCAACCCAAGGAAAGATTGTCTAGCACAGGGGTAGGCAACCTTGGCTCTTTTAAGACTCGTGGACTTCAACTCCCAGAATTCCTGAGCCAGCCATGCTGAGGGGAAAGGGAGAGGTTTCCAAGCTGAGCCATGCTAGCTCAGGAACTCTGGGAGTTGAAGTCCACAAGTCATAAAAGAGCCAAGATTGCCTACCCCTGGGACTCTAGCAAATATCAGTAGCAATAGCACTTAGACTTATATACCACTCTATAGTGCTTTATAGTGCGCTGAGCAATTTACAAAGTTAGCATTATTTGCATATTGCTGTCAACAATCTGCGTCCTCATTTTACCGATCACATACGGTTAAAATGTTGAGTCAACCTTGAGCCTCGTTAGGGTTGAACTTTTGGCAGTGGGCGAAGTTTGCCTGCCATACTGCATCCTAACCACTGTCACATTTTTTCAATTGAAATATTCTTTGATAAAGTGGCTCTCTTCCAGATTTGGAGAACTGTGGGCTGGAAGGTCATCTCTCTTTCGCTGAGTATGTACGGGGTGTTGTATTTCTATGAGAGGTTTACTTGGACCGCGAAGGCCAAAGAGCGTGCTTTCAAGCAACAGTTTGTCAACTATGCGACAGAAAAGCTGCAACAGATCATCAACCTTACCAGCGCCAACTGTAGCCATCAGGTGCAACAGTATGTCTGACCTGTTTTATAATTGGACCTCCCCTCCCTCCAGTGGCTGTGGTGTATTATCCCCGGACTGCTGATGAATTGGGCTCTGCCTTTTTGTCCCCTAGGGAGATGGCCACCACGTTTGCTCGCCTCTGCCAGCAGGTGGACATCACAGAGACCAATCTGGAGAAGGAGATCGGACGATTGTCTCAAAAAATTACTCAGCTAGAAAAAATCCAGAACACCTCAAAGCATCTACGGTGAGGAGCGTCGGTGCCTTGGATGAAAGATCAGGAGTATTTGAAGAGCAAAGAGCACATTCACTTTCAGTTTCTATTAAATTTATATATAAAGTTGTGAGAATTTTTATTAGTAGTAGTGTATGGCAGACATGTCAAACACAAGGCCCGGGGGCTGGATGCGGCCCACGAAGTGGTTTCATGTGGCCCGCGAAGCCATCCTGGAAACAGTGAGGGAACGGCCCCCACTGCCTTGGCCCTGGCCCAGGCCAGCCGGGAGCCAATGTACAATTTTGTGGTGACCATCTATGCTGAAACATACTCAGTCTTAGCTCCACAAGGGCATCTAGAAACAGCGAGGAACCAACCCCTGCCACGTCGGCTCCGCCCCCTGGGTGCATGCTGGGGAGGTGTCACTCTTTGTGAGGACTGAAGAAATGGACCATGCCTTGGCGCTTGCCCTGGTCCCACCCCCTTCTGCCAGAGACCCTCAGATCTGTCCCACTCCTGCCCAGGCCCCCACAGGCACCCTTGACACGAACGATGTAGAGCTGGCCATGCCCACCCAGTAGGCCACACCCATTCCATCCATACCCACCCAGTAGCCGCACCCATCCTGGCCACACCCACCTGGCCCCCTGAGGGCAACCGCAATGCTGATGCGGCCCTCAATGAAATTGAGTTTGACACCCCTGGTGTATGGCGTTGTTACAGGATCCAGGAGACTACAGTGCTATTGCAGAGTAGTATGGTTTGCCAAGGTACCAGCCATGTTACAGGACATACTTGCACGCTTCCCATGGTGCGTCACAGGAAGACGAACTGGCTTCGCATTGGAGAGCAAGATGAGCGGCTTTTCCTGCAGCATCACCCTTCCCGGAGCTGTTTCGCAAACGGGTGCCGCAACCAGGGAGGTTCAGAGCTATTAGGAATCTGATTGCCTACACAAAGTACGAGCTTAGCTCCCCACTGAAATGGTACCTATTTTATCTGCTCGCATAGAACATATTTTCAAACTCTTAAATGGACAGAAGCTGAGGCAAGTGAGGGGAGCTCACCCTGCCACACAGAGCTAGGGCTCAAACCTCCGGCGCTGAGACCATCTCCAGCATCATTAAGCCCTTGAGCCCCGGTACCTCTTAGTTGTGAGAATGAATGGGTATCTAGATCTAATTTAGATTCATTTAGCGATCCTTTTTATTTTAATTACTTTTTTTATTTCAAACACTACCAGTTTTCCTCAAACTGACTTAGATATCGTTAATGTCTGAGGTCCCCCGAGGACTAATTATTTCCCTCCTTTTGTTTTGTAGGAAGAAAGCTGTTTGTCTTGAAGATGAATTTGACGGTTTTTCGAAAGATTTTCTCCAGAAAAAGAAGAGTGGGATTTAAAAGATTAACACTGTTTCCCTTGCAGGAATTTAGTCACATGAATTTTTCCTGCTGCTTTTGACTGTCCGATTTCTCCGTTGCCACCCAGCTGTTCTGATACTTAGGCTACGAATTGTGCCCAAGAACTCAGGAAAGAAGCAGTATTTACTATTGAATCATTTTGCAACTTTTCATAAGATGAACTTATTTGTATTTACTATAGCATATGGACTTTATTTGGAAATGTAAAAAGAAAAATATATAAAATAAACAAGAGACCCGTAGTATTTTGTATAAATGTTTATAGCCAGAGTCAGCTCCTCTTTCTGGCATCCAGGAGAAATTTTTCCTCACTCCAGTTTTATATCATACTGCTGTTACTCCATGGGAGATTTTTTTTCAAAGACTCTTGTATAAACCAATGTAATGTAGAGTGCTGCCAATTTTTGAAAGAGATTTGTAGTGTTTGGATGCAGAGACAATCAAATCTCCTGATGCCATTCTGGGATTTTCATTTGGCTGAAAGATGAATTAAATCTTCAAAGTGGCATATTTAAAGCTGTATATTTTTACTAAGGGAGTTCCTGACTCAAATCTGATTTATCAGAAAAACTGGATGTACTTTCACTATTTTTCAGAGTAGCCTTTCTAGGATAACTATGTTAGGCAGGCATCATTTTCTCAAAAAAAAAAAAAAAAATCTAAAAAACCAGAGAACTGTTATAATTGGTGTGGTAAACAGGATACCTTACAAAATTGAACATGCCAGTCTGCCGCGTGTCTGGCAACAGCATTTTAATTCAGGACTGGTATAATGCCTGGATAGCTAAAATCAGGTGCAAGTACGGCCCAAATAACTAATGTGAAGTTAGTTTTTTGTGCAGTTTCTAAACTTACGTATTTTTTTAAAAAAATATTCCCAAGATTATAGCTGCTTCAAATGGAACAACAGAGAAGGAAATAGTTTTGACAGCTGAAATATGTGAGATTTATGTTAGGATTAGTGACACAAATCAATTTTGGAAGCAACACATGGTGTTACTGCGCCTTTTATTCTTTTCATGCTGGTGGGATGTCATAATGGTTGACATAACAGAGGACCTCCCTGTTTTTCTACTCATGACTTCAACTGCTCTTGAATTATATCATTAAAGTGTTAATCTGGACTACTTAATTCATAATGGACTACTTTTTGCAGCATAATTGACATGATAGTAATTTTAACTAGGATAATATCCATAGGCATGTTTTTTTAAAGAAAGTGAGAATTAACTTTAGTTCTTAAAAAAATATTGGGTATTGTGGTGAGACTTGGTAAGAGTTCCTAACATACAAAGGGCTAATTACTTCATTGGCAGTTTTCTCAAATTTCTGCCTTGTTCAGCAACCAGTTACTCTTGTATTATTCTGTTTCTTTTGAATGTTTAATGTGGAATGCTTCTGTTCTTATGTCAGATCAACACAATGATTGTAAATGGAACCAGTGACATTTGCTGAGATATTAAAACAAAATGACAACTTGAACCATACAACTAAACTGGTTAAAAATCTGCAGCTGTTTTAAGATCCATTTTTCCTTCCAGGATTTTAGTATTGAAGAAATTTAAAATAGAGCAAGGAAGATACTAAATAATAGCCCTTGTTTCTAGGAAAGTCTCTTTAGTAGGGCATAAAAACATCATACATGCATTGTTCACATGCTCATATGGGCTTCCAGAAACTTCTTTAAATGGAAAATGCTCAGTAGAATCTGGTTGGGAATATTAAAACTTCTAGTGTTTTCAATCTTAGCAACTTTTAAGATATGTGGATTTCAACTCCCAGAATTCCTCAGCCAAGATGAAAAACAGGTGTCCTACCTTGGGAACTTGTAGACTTCAACTCCCAGAAGTTGATTGCCTGAGGAATTCTGGGAGTTAAAGTCCACAGGTCTTTCCCAAGGTTGGACACCCCTGCTGTAAACCTAATTTCAATTTAAGACATTTTGAGGCCGGTGCCAATGCTACCAGAAAAGGACTTCCTCATGCAAATGAGTACCTGCTATAGGTTTTCTACATGAAAGGTGGTCTTAGTATCTTCATCCAGGGGATTTTGCAGGTTGTCCTTGCATTAAAATATTTTCTTTCATAATGCTTTGTGTTTCTGATCCTCCTTTCTCTAAACCAGGGGTCTTCAAACTTGGCCCTTTTATGACTTGTGGATTTCAACTCCCAGAATTCCTCAGCCAAGCACTGGGAGTTGAAGTCCACAAGTCATAAAAGGGCCAAGTTTGAAGACCTTCTCTAAACGCATACCCTACAATTATGGCTGGCTTCTTTTTGGTTCAAGAGCTACAGATCATGCCTTGGAGTCCCAACAGGAGGCAGCATGAATTGAGTTTGGTTCATTCTGCAGAAGGAACATGTGCTTTATAGGTGGACAGGAAGTTCAAGACTACAGGTTGCAGTCTGAAAAATGGAAAAGCATCCTAGAACAGGGGTCCCCAACCTATGGGCTGCAACCCACTACCGGTCCATGGCCTATTTACAACCAGGCCACGAGTGGCTGGCTGGTGCTCATGCGTACACAGGCCCACTCACACGCTCAGGGCTCCTCGCGCATAATGAGTGCTCTTAGCCTTGTGCAACGGTTACTCCTGCGCGCACATACACATCTGCCTCTTCCACAAAACCTTCCCCTCTCTGGACCTAGAAGGCAGCCAAGGAAAATTACTTCTATACTGTGGCCAAGACAATGTGAATATGTCCATCTGGTCACCAGTTCAAGTCACAGAAGGTGCTATATTAACTGCTAAATTATGACTGAGGAGTGATAAATTGAGTAATGATTGTAAATAGTGATTATAAAATATCTAGGGTGGCAACCTGTAATGTACATTGGGTTCCTGCAGCAATGCCTGGCAAAAAAACAACAACAGTAAAACCAGGTTCATTCTGATATTATTTATTATTGTTGTTGATGATGATGTTGGAAGGGACTTTGGAGGTCATCTAGTCCAATCCCCTGCTCAGGCAGGAAACCCTATGCCATTTCAGACAAATAGCTGTCCAGACTCTTCTTAAAAACTTCCAGTGTTGGAGCATTCACAGCTTCTGGAGGCAGGTTAATTGTTCTGTCAGGAAATTTCTCTTTAGTTCTAGGTTGCTTCTCTCTTTGGCTAGTTTCCATCGACACGTTAAAAGTTCCCAATTTCCTTAAAATAAGGAAAAGCTCAAACAATTTTCAGTGATATGTTACCTGCCTTCCCCTAATATATCTGGTTAAAACTAGAAACCTGCTTGTGTGTACTGACTTTAATGCACCATTTTAATACTTTTAAGGCAGTGTATTCCGAACCATAGCAATTTTAAGATTGATGGACTTCAACTCCGAGAATACCCCAGTCAGCAATGCTGGCTGGGGTACTCTGGGAGATGAAGTCCACACATTTTAAAATGTCTTAAGTTTGGGAAACACTGTTTTAAGGGCAGTCTATTTTAAGGGGAACTTCTAAAACTAATATCCAACGGTGGGAACTATAATTTGGGGGGGAAATGTATACACACAAAATGTTATCAAAACATCGAAATAATCATATTTTGATTACTACAATATGCTCTATATGGGGCTACTCTAGAAGACCATTTGGAAACTTCAACTGGTGCAGAATGTGGCTGTCCAGATAGTAAACAGTAGCAAATATAATATCACTACTATGTGAGCTGCATTGGCTACTGGGGTGCTTCCAGATGCAATTTAAGGTGCTGGTTGTCACCTTTAAAACCTTAAATGACTTGGGACTGGTTACCTGATGGACAAGCTTTTTCCAATTTGTCCAATTCAATCCAGCAAATTGGTCATTCTGCAGATCCCTTCAGCCAGAATGTCTGGGCCTTGTTTGCTGTAGCCCCTGCTTTGTGGAATACTCTCTCTTCTGAGCTTAGAATGGCCCTAGACCTGCTGGTCTTTCATTAGACTTTGAAAACTTGGCTATATTTCTGGGCCTGGGCTCAGAATGCATTAAGGACCCCATTTCTTAATTGGTTAACTATCTCAGCTGCTGTATTTGTTAATTAGTTAACTATCTCAGCTGCTGTATTTGTTCAGCTGCTATATTTTGTTTTTATTATTTTATATAGTTTTAGAATTGTAAGCAGCCAAAGCCACTTGGCTGAAATGAGCGGCTATACAAACTGAATAAGTAAGTAAATTTTGAGATCCAAATACTTGCAAGATATGGCTGTTTGCAGAATACAGCCTGCCTGAGGCATCCTATATTAAAATTCTTTTTGTTATACTCTACTTCTTAGCTTCATTTTATTGCCAGAAATAAGATAACTGGTTAGATTTAGAAGAGGGAAGAACGAATCATAAAATCATTTAAAGATAAAAAGTGAACTACACCCAAATCCAGTGAGAACATCTCAGTTCTTTCATAAGACAGAAGATGGAAACAAGAAGATGAGGACTGCCTCTAAACACTGTACTGATCATTTCCTGAAATTCTATTTAAAAAATAAAAAAGAGAAATTCCACCAGTGCAAAGTTAGTGGATATACCTGATTGGCAGAGCAGGCATAATTAATTCTTTCTTCCTCCATTTTGGAAAAAAAATAAATTCTTTGTCCTTTTTTGTTCTGTGTCAAAATGCAGTGGTGTGTTTAATATACGGATCCATTTTTTAAAAGAAATGTGACCTAAATAATTCAAAAGGGAATGGCTTTTAATGGTTCTCAATGAACAGGATTCATAAAAAAGACTTACAGGGTAATCCTTTAAAACCGTAATATCCTTGAAAAGATTTTTTTTTTTTTTTTTGCTTTTGTTTTCTAGCATGGAGTAATCCAAGTTCTTTGAGTGAGTAAAATTACTGGGATTTTAGATGCAATATGCTAAAGAACAGGCAAATATGAAATCAATTAATAGGAGAAAGAGAGAAAGCCTAGTTAAAAGCGCTTGTTTATTGGTTACAATGTTAAGTCAGGCAACATTTTTCACTGAGACACTGTACAATTACAAAGGAAAGATTCATTAGGGGAAGAACTATAAACAATTCATAGCAAGTGTCCATTCCCCCCCCCTCCCTTCTCGCCACCCAACAGGGAAGTCTTTATACAACAGCACTAAGGAAAAAAAATGGCACAAATCTCTGTGTTTTTGTTTAATCAATTAGGATCAATAAAAGGATTTAAGATGTTCTGAACACACAATCCAAGAGGCAGTGCAGAATTCACTTGGTACCTGGAAATATTTTGGAAGGTTTTCTTCTAGAGAAGACAGTAGCAAGTGAAGGTTAAAAATAACCCTACCACACACTTCCTGGAACTGTTAACAGCAAAAGCACAAGACTGTCCATTTATGAAAACAAGTCAGACACAACTCCTTTGGGGAAGGAGGAAGAGGAGGCTAGGACCAACACAGAGATGTGCTACAGCAAGAAGGAAACAAAGAGAGCACCATTGTGTTGTAAAAATAAAGGCCTGAAATATCTAAGAAATCCCATATTGTTTAAAATCAAAGAAAGTCAGGCACATTTTTCAAAAAAAAAAAAATCTTATTTATTAATCATTTAGTTAACACTGTGAACAGACTCACCAGAACACCACTAAGAATTTTAACAGTCTTGCATGTATTTTACACAATCTTTATTTCACCAAAAGAAAAAGAAATAAAAATAAGACTTGCAATGCCTCAAATATGGAAGTAGTCTGAGTAGCAAGGGGGCCTAATTAAGAGGGGGAGGGAGGGCACAAGGACGCATGATTTTTTTTTCCAAAGGTCAGAAATTGCCACCTCGCGTTTCTAAGTAACAGTTGCAATCCCAAAGAAGTCCCGTGTCTCATCCATACCTGGAAGGGAGGCATCTTCCCTTTCAGCTGTGGCAAATGCTGCTCAGGAGCCCTTCCCCTCCCTTTCCCCCAAAAATAATGTTCAAGGGAGGAGGTGCAGTAAGAAGGGGGGCAAGGAGGAAGGAATAAAAGTTACGAGAATATCCAACAGTTCAGATATACATGCAGGACTTAAGAAATCTAGCTACCAGGGGGATTGGTTATATACAGATTGGTCAGGTAAGGAGCCCTATTGCAGAGGGAGGCACTATGTGACCTGGCTTGGCTCACTCCCTAATAAAGCCTACAGCACAGGTGTCCAACTTTGGCAACTTTAAAGACCTGTGGCCTTCAACTCCCAGAATTCTGGGAGTTGAAGTCCGCAGGTCTTAAAGTTGCCAAAGGCTGGACACCCCTGGCCTACAGTGCTTTCCGAATCACCATTGGGATGTTGGAGACACCACTTCTTTAAGTAACTGTACAATTCGTCTTTGAGGGCGCTATCCGTTCTAGGCGGTGCTACTTCAACTGGCAAAACTACGACAACCATTCAGTCTGATGGGTAAATAACAGCGGGTTACTCAATCATAAACTATAATCAGCACCAGAGACAAAAACTCTCATAGGAGGCAGGGAAATAGAGAAGGAACAGAAATCAAAATCATCAAGGGTCTTTTCGCTAGAACAGTATTCCCCCTAAATTGGACCTCAACTCCCAGGATTCTCAGCAGTGACTATGCTGGTTATGGAATTCTGGGTGTTGAAGTCCATATACCTGGAAATTGCCACGGTTGGGGAAACCCTGTGCTGTAGGACACGAATGGATAACCTATAAAGTCCAGGATAGTCAGGACCAAATATTTCAGGACGGGACCATCACTTTGCAGAGGCTTCAAGCCCCCCCCCCCCCCAAAAGCAGCAAAACAAACAAATGATCAGGTTGATCTTCCCCATTTAGAAGGAGAGTTAGGGAGGAAACTAAGTACCTTAAGGCTTTGTACTTTTGTTCCTTAACCCCTTCTGGTAAAAAAAAAAAAAAGTCTGAAATTTGAGCCCTGCCTCCTCCACAGATACAACAGCAGCTATAAATCCTCCAACTCCATGGGAGAGCAGGAAGAGAATGTACACCCCACCCAGACCCCACACGTTTGCCCAATCCCACTGCAGGAAATCCATTCAAACTCCAGTTTCATTTTATGCATTCCAGGCCAAGGTATTTTGGCAAATCGTATCGAAAAATCAATTAATTCCTACAATTTATACTGAAGACTTGGCGATACATCCAGCCACGTATTTATGCAAGCTGCTCTGCTCTGTAGGGGAATTATCCCTAAAATCCTATATGTGGTTACAAACTATTCCTGATGAAGTAGGATAATCGATACACTAAAGATGAGATGTCCAACTTTGGCAGCCTGGCTGACTGGGGAATTCTGGGAGTTAAAGTTTACAGCAGCAGGGGTCCTCAACCTTGGCAACTTTGACTTGTGGACTTCAACGCCCAGAATTCCTCAGCCAGCAAAGCAGTCATAAAAGGGCCAAGTTTGAAGACGTCTGGTCTACAGGTCTTAAAGTTGCCACGGTTGGACACCCCTGTACTAAAGTAATACAACTGAGACTGTATGATGGCTCCCAGCTTCTTTGGCAAACCGAACAATTCACTGCGCTGAATTATTTTGTGCTGAACATTTTTCCCCTAAAAGGGCAAATTTTTCTTACTCATGCAAGGCAATCTTAAGGCCCTTACAAAATATATATTGAATACCAAGGAGACAAGTAGTGGATTAAGGGTGAGTTAATCTGCAGAATGAAGAGCTGTATTACAACACTAGAAAAAAACTTACTAACTCCCTCGAGGTGAAATCCCATCAGTAGTATCAGGTGTGAAAAGAATGAACCATAGCAAAGATAGTAAAAAGCTGCACGTGTGTAACCTAACACGTGTTTACACGTCTCTCTGGATATTAAGTGATGATTCATGGACTGTTAGAGCTCCTACATCCAAAATGTTTGGCACATGCTTTGCCACTTTTGCCACCAGTAAAAAAAAGCTGGAATGCAGGATAAAAATTGGCCAAAGCTGAGAAAACAAATGGCACTGCAACAGAATATGTTTGAAAATATGAAGAACTACCAACCTATGTTTGGAAAGTGGAGATTTTAGGGGACATATAACATTGAATCCTTCCTCTACTGTCAAATCTGATTATTAATATAGAACTGAATCTACAACGCAGGCCAATCCATGAATACTTCAGAAGAATCAGATCCACTTCATACCTGCTACAAGTACAGACAGCAAGAAAACTAATTTCGAGGATTTTTTCTAAAGCACGTCTTCAGCTACCCCTCTGTATATGTATGAGAACAGGACAATTCCTATGGCCAATTATTAGATGACCTTCACTCCAAAATTTAAAAAGCCAAACAGCAGGATCCTACAATGCTTGCTGCTCCAGAGAAGACTGAAGCCATGGCGAGGCATGGGAAGTCTTTCCAAATGGGATCTGTTTTAAGGGAAAGAGGAAGACTGGGGAAGTTAAGTTCATTTGTTAACGTTTCCCCGAGACTTACAAACACAAAAGCTTAAAAAAAAAAGACAGTTTAGTTTTCTGGAATGTCTAGGTGAACGCGCCCTGTCCCTTGGCACAGCAGCTATTAAAATGAGCATTCTGCACTTCTTGTAGTCAGTGGGTGACTGGCTTTACTGAAGTCTGAAGCAGCTCATTAAAAATCGATGTGACATATGCCAGCGTAGTCTTTTTCTCAACCTTGGCAACTTTAGGATGCCTGGATTTCAACTCCCAGAATTCCCCGGCTGGCAAGCTTGACGGCTGGGGAATTCTGGGAGTTGAAATCCAGGCATTCTTAAGTTGCCAAGGTTGAGAAAGACTGTCAAGAGTCTTTACGCAATACGAATGCGGTATTAAAGAGTCTTCGTGCAGTGAATGCAGATTTCAAGAGAAACACTGTGCTGGAGTCTTAAAGAGGCAACCATAACACTTCCCCGCCGCATACGCAAGAGTCATTCGAGAGAAAACTTTTTTCTACCTGGAATATATAAAGTAGAATTATAATGTGTGGATGCACTCAGAATATGCCCCACCTACATTTGGAGTGATACGGTTCAATTTCTTTGCTGGAAATTGGAAGCAGCCCCACATTCAATCTTAAGCTAGACAATACGTTTACAGAAGAGGAGAAATATCTCATTTACAACTATTCAATCCCCACAAAAATACATCCATCAAACACTGTCTCAAGCAAATACCTATCTTTCAATTTCCTGGCCCTAAAATCTCATTAGAGGCTGTTAGAAGGAAGCTTAAAATCTAAATCCTTAAAACATTTCAGTCCTTATATTTGAAGGATGCATCCGATCCTCTGTTTAACTCTGTGGTGATCAGAGCCCCTTGGCTTCTAATAGATTATCTGGGATCTGCTACCGCTAAGGAGAGAAAAAAAAATCACGGAGCAAGAAAGGAGCTAAACGTCACAAGAGTTATTAAGGGATTTCCTTTTTTGTTTGTTTGTTTGTTTGTTTTGTTTTATACAGACACTCTGTTATAAAATTTCACAAACAGCTCATGAACTTCACACTTTATCTACAGTAAATTCACGAAGAGGGGAAAAATTATAACAGCAGACCAGCCGATCCACCGTGGAACTCAGAAGATACATCTTAGGTTAAACGTAGTGCTATATAAATGCAGTTTCTTTTTTTTAAAAAAAAAATCGCAAACATCGTTCCTTTACTTACAGACAAAATGTTACATGATTGGCTGCTATGTGTATATTCAATTATGTACAAAAAGGTACAGAATTAGCAGGACTGGGGCACAAGCAGAAATCCCTTCAGGGCAAATGTAGCCGAACGAAATGCTAACTGACTGGCTTTTTTTTTTTTTTTTTTTTAGCTTTGCTCACCCCAAACACATGTCCTGCCCTCTTCTCTTTTTCCTTGAAAGAAAAGTCACTGATTTCTCCCATCTACCACTTCTTCATTCTTTTTGTGTGTTTAAACTTCATTTACAGAAAGCCTACTTATGCAATCGTCAGCAAGTAGAAAAACTTCACCTGTAAATACAAAGTAGAAATGTTATTTCACAGCAAGAGGCTGCAGCATTGCTCTCTCCAGATCTCAATGGAGAAGGTGTGCGTGTCTATTGGTGGAGGTGTCAAATGCCTCGTTAATTCCAGATTCTGAGAAAGCTGTCCCAAGATCCTGTAGCCACTGCCATGCCATCGTCAGTCACCCCTAAGCAGCTGACTCGGTTGTCGTGACCAGCAAGAACACCTGAAGGGTCAAAGAGCACCGTATTTAATCAAATGGCCCTCAACAATCTCCTCTTCAGAAACAGAGTCACCATTCTCATGTTCTCAAATGCATTTATATCTCAAGTTTTCAGAAATATGTTCTCACATAAAATGCCTTAACAAGAGGACAGGGAATGGATTGAAGTATCAAAAAAGAAAAAAAAATCTACACAAGAACAGTTGACTTCAGTTGTGAAAATCGAGGCAAGGTTGAAACACTTGTGTAACAAATGTGTAACTTTTTTTCCTTTAAAAAAAGTAAAGGTTTCCCTTGGCCAGTCCTGTCAGACTCTAAGGCAGTGGTTCTCAACCTTTTTAATGCCGCGACCCCCAACTGGTCGTAAGTCGAGGACTATTCAACCGGTCGTAAGTCGAGGACTACTCAACTGGTGCAGCACCGTTTGCAGAATGGGACTTTTGGCGGGCTCAGCAGGGCAGAGGCAGCCTGGACAATTCCTATTGGCTTTTGAAAGCCAATAGAATTAGACTCTATTCAAGAGGGTCTATTCTATTGCCTTTCAAAAGCCAATAGAATAAAAGGGAGTAGCACAGCTAAGGAAAAGGAGAAAAAAATGGCGGACTGCATTGTTTGGTGACCCCCATGAAATGATCGTTCGACCCCAAATGGGGTCACGACCTACAGGTTGAGAACCGCTGCTCTAAGGGGTGGTGCTCATCTGTTTCCTAGGCAAGGAACCAGCATTGTCTGAAGAAATTTCTGTGGTCATGTGGCCAGCAAGTCTATACACTGAGGCACAGGGAGCACTCTTAGCTTCCCATCAAGGTGATACTTATTTATCTACTTGATTTTGCATGCTTTCAAACTGCTAGATGGGCAGGAGCTGGGGCAAGTAACAGGAGCTCACCCCGTTGCATTGTACTCTTGAACCTGGACTGTCCGCTTTCTAGCTCCTTTAACCGCTGAGCCATCACATTCTCCATTTTTTTAAAAAAAAAAAAACCTTCACTAAAGATGAAAGATGCCAAGTATGCATAAACAGAAGGGACTTCCAGAGGGGAAGGGCCATGATTGGATAAAGTCTGAGGCATGCTGATCAACCCAGCTATACTTAAAGACAACTCTTCAAGAAAACTGTTTAACAACAGATCAAAAACCAGGACTCAGCTTAACAATGAATTTGTGTGCCACATAACTGGCACCCCATGGAGCAGTCACAAGCAAGAGGTCAATGCACTTAAATCTGGCTCCTATTAACCTATTGGCTTTAACTCACCTGCACGTTCGCCCTTCAGGGTATCCCAAACATTGCAGTTGAAATCGTCGTAGCCTGCCAAAAAGAGACGTCCGCTCTTTGAGAAAGCTACAGAAGTGATCCCACAGATGATGTTATCGTGAGAATATAACATGAGCTCCTGGTCTGCACGAAGATCAAAGAGTCGACAGGTAGCATCATCTGAACCAGTGGCAAAGGCATGGCCGCTTGGGAAGAACTGTGAAATGCAACAAGAATATGAAAAATGCAGACGGAGGAGGGGAAAACAGGGAGAAAGCAGGGAGAAGGAAAGAGGTTGATTCTGGAATCATATGCTAACATTCAAAGTTCACTTACTAATATCTGTGCTCAAAATAAGATTGGAACAGCACCTTGCATGATACCTGAAGCTTTAAATTTGCCTGAAATCTTAATGTACTTAAACATTTGCGAAGTCCTTTACTCTTCATCAGCAAATTAAGACAGTTCTCTCAAATAACAGAACAATTAACCATCTAAAACAGAGTTTCCCAATCTTGGCCACTTGAAGCTGTGTGGATGTCAACTCCCAGAATTCCCCAGTCAGGAAGGAATTCTGGGAGTTGAAGTCCACACACAGCTTCGAGGGGCCAGTGTAGAGAAACACTGCTCTAAAACGTTAAAGAGATTGTGTGGATGATGCGTGATGCACCCTGAGATACCTGCCCCCCCCCCCCAAATTGCACACACTTCTAGCTCCGCTAACTCTTCTGCTGAACTAATTATCCCTAAGAAACCCTTGGCCTATGAAAACTTGGCTTCCACAGATGGAAGAGATGAAAAGCATTTCCACTGATGGAAAATCCAAAACAGTCTAGCAGATGTAGAGGAGAAGTAGCTAGTGCGTGCGTAGAAGCATCTATATTCGCGTATATTCATGAGCACAGTCACTTACACAAACTGCATTAATGTCAGATACGTGTCCCATGAATGACTGCCTGCACATCCCATCTCGGATGTCCCAGAGCTTGGAGGAGGCATCACAGGCACCCGAAACAAAAGTGCTCATGTCTGGGCTTAAAGAGAGACTCATGACATCGCCGGTATGTCCAGTAAACGCAGTAGTCTGCTGGCCCGTCTCGATATCCCACAGAGCACTGCAAGTGAAGTAAAAGTATTTGAATTCGGAAGCTTAAATAATCAACATGGGGAGCTCATTAAAAAAATAAAAGTTACAAGATACTCACCAGGTAGTGTCTCCAGAGCTTGTAATTATTTGGTTATCATCTAGAAAGCGACAACAGGACAAGTACCCTAAAAAGAGAACAGTAGCAAAATGGCTGTTTCAAACGGCAACTCAAATTAAGTCCAGAATTCCGCTTCCTTCCAGCCTTTATTAAAAACATTTTTATTACAGTACTTAAAACTACAAATGTCTAAAGTCAGAGGAACAATCTCAAGATCTGGGGAAAGCTGAGTCAGTGAACAGATTGGAAATGGGATGGCCCAGTGGCATCTAACTCAAATAAACAAATAAAAATAACATAATAAAAATAAAATAATAAAATTAATAAAATAAAACAATAAATAGCTAGCTAGCTAACTGCCAGCCATAAATGTTTATAACACTTATGAAGTTAATTTGCTGGATGCTTAATAATAAACATTTTTAAATTGTTTGGACAGGACATAAAAAGCAGCAAATGACATATGTGCAAATATTACAAAAAAAAAAAAAACCCCAACAACAAGCCCAATATCCATAATAGTTATTTAACACAGAATCATTGGACCAAATTCTATATTAGTAAATGCCACTTGTTTATTTGGAAAAATATTCCTATTAAAAGCAATTCCAGAAAGGTAAAATATGCAATTATTTTTTTCCAACTTGACTCCCTTGCTTTTAGAAGACAAGAGAAAGTTACGTGTATTACAGTTTCATTAAAAATAATGGAGAAAAAACAAACAAACAAAAAGAAGCAGAAGGCAGCTGACCGGTATGGCCGGGTAGTTCTCTGCTCACTCGTACGTTGCCCTCCCTTGTCTTCAGATTGTAGATAGAACAGATGTTGTCTAATCCACCACAAGCGACATAATTGCCAGATGGTGCATACGCACAGGTCATTACCCAGGAAGACCGCAAAGGAATAGCATGCATCTTTAAAAGTAAAATTGGAAAAAAGAAAAAGCACTATGAGTTGTCCCCTTCAAAAATCAGATGCAAAAAACTGGTGCAGATCATTAACTGATGCTATGAGAACTACCATCGCGCAGGGAGCAGCAGATACAAATAATTCTTAAGTTACAACCGTAATGGTCAGGTTCCATTACAGCCGTAAATCGGGTCACTCACGGTTTTTGCAGCAGCCATTAAGCAAACACTGCAGGGGCTTGCCAAAAACAAAGTAAATTTTTGTGTTCGGCAAAACTATAGAACTTCAAATCTAGGTCATAAGCACCCATCAAGGCCGGTCCATCCTGATTGTCACTAAGCGACTGATTTTAAGTTGAGGACAATCTGCAATTAACTAAACCTTTGCTCTCAATAATGTGTGGGGAGTAGCGTTACAAAATCAATACAGAACTTTCCTTCAAAATGTAATATTCCAGCCCAGTTTCCAGAAAGAGCTCTGATCTGCTCCAAGCTAAGCCAAGTTGTCATTTTTGCAGAAGGTTCTCACAATGGCATTGAACAAATAGTAGAGCAGTTTAATGAGTTAAAAATACCAACTGACGTTGCTACCAATTTTGAAGAGGGGAAACAATACATTCTGCAAATAGCAAAACCTCCTATGGCAAAATTACCTATGTTTTTTTTTAAAAAAAAAAACATTCTCATAATGTCCAGTGGCTTTCTGATATGGTAAGAATATTTCATTAATCTCATACTATCCCAGGGTCTTCAAATGAGTATAAGAAAAAAAATAAATAACTGGTTAATCACAAAATGTCTCATGAGAATGACCGACCTCCCCAGGACTTGTCTCAATCCTATTTTACTTGCCAGATCCCAGGTCTCATTTTACTGGTTCTGGAGAGGATTAAAAAAGGTGAGCAAACTCTACACTGAAATGACACTGAATGATTCAGTTGAAAATATATTAAGAGATTATGGCACAGCTACTATTGCCCACTATTAAATGAACACCAAGATAGCTGTCAAGAACAGTTTAGTGAATAACAGAGTTGGAAGGGACCTTGGAGGTTTTCTAGTCCAACCCCCTGCTCAGGCAGGAAACCTTATACCAGGGGTAGGCAACCTCAGCTCTTTATGACTCATGGATTTCAACTCCCAGCATAGCTGGCTCAGGAATTCTGGGAGTTGAAGTCCATGAGTCATAAAAGAGCCGAGGTTGCCTACCCCTGCCTTATACCGTTTCAGACAAACGGCTGTCCAATGTGTGTTACTGTGATCTCAGCAAGTGACTTGAAATGTGTTCAGTACCTTCGACAATGCTGAACTTCAAGCCATCAATTCCCAACTTCTTATATTTTTATAAGAAAAAGTCTATCTGGAGAAAGAATGACTTGTGGAAAGCATCTGTTAATTAATTGACCAAGATCGGCCACCTTCCAGGCCTTGGTTGACTGCTCTCTAGGGCAGTTTTTTTGCTTTCCTTGTGAACAACTTAAACACCTCAAAGTACTTCAATACACATTTCAACATACATCCAGCATATTGTATCCCCATGTGTTTGAGCCAGAATTTTTAAGATTAATGAAACAGAATATTCGACACTATGCTTGAGAAAACAACAGACTTGTACTTCCAAACACAGAAAAAATAATAACAAGACAAGAAATTGTATTGAAATCTGAAAACCATCAAGCCAATAAAGAGGTATGGATGGGGGACAGAAAAAGTAAAGAATCTTAAATATTAGTAATGGAATCTAAAATGAAGCCCATCAGCAAGAGACACATAAACTGTCCAAACTGAACATTATTAAATAAATAAATAACTATACCTTGTTTGTTGTATAACTATCCCAAATAATTAATTTTCCATCTTGGGAAGCACTCACTAGTAACCTAAAGATAATAGTAAAATAAAACAAAGAAAAAAATACAACCAAAGCATGTATTAATATGTTAATCTGGCTTCTCCCTCTTCATGGTTTCAAAATTGAAAGTTCAAAGCCAAATTCCTGTGCATTCTCTAGGACCCTAATTTCCCTTTTTCTACTTGCGAACCACACAGCTTAGGGCCCAAGCAAAAGATATTAGGGCCACACGTTGAAAAGTTAGTTCTTCTATGAAATCCTGGACTACTCTTCCCCAACCGGATGCTAAACATCATGGCATGGGTCCAGGTTATCTGAAGAACTATCTCAGCCCCATGGGATTGGCCTGTCCTACTCAAGCTGGCACAAGGGGCTTGCTGTGGACCCCATCGATCAAGGAATTCAGCTGGCGAAGTCCAGGAAAAGAGCCTTTTCTGCCATGGCTCCTGGAACATTGTGCCATCCCAGGTGAAATCAGCAACTATTCTTTTGGCTTTCTGAAAGGATCTGAAGATTTGGCTCTGCCAATTGGCCTGAGGCTCAATGGGGCCATGTCAGAGATAAAACCCCATCTCCTCCCTATAGGCATCTCGCTTTCTTTCTTCCCACCTTGTCAATTTTAAACCACTTTTAGTATTCCTATTTATAGTTTTAATGTGTCATATTGCTGTTTTTATTGATTGTAAGCCACGTAGAGTCATCTCTAGGTGAGATGGGCAGCTCATAAGTTTAATAAGTATCATTGGCTTTGAGTTGCAATCTACCCGAACTGGAGAACATCAAGATGAAACTGCCGGTGTATAGGATTAAAACCCAGATAAACTGACAATGAGATGAGAAATCAGGAAGACGACCCTCTAATATTATACACTGTTGGTGAAGAGTGACTAGCCCAACAGAAGATAAATAGGTTCATCCTATTCATTGTAATAGTACCATGTGTATGCTTCCTCCTTTTATTTTATTCAGTTACCTGGAAGAAAGGGAAGCAAGTTCAGACTGGATAAGCCTACTTTCCTCCATCACTATTTGACTGTTTTAAGGAAAGGAAAAACACTAAGAATTTTATTTATACTGAATGTAAATGAGCAGTTTCCCAGGAAATGACTGAGGCAGCTCCACCTACATAAAATTTCCAATCTATTTTATATGGGGTGCTAAAATATGCAGGAGAACCCTGAACAATAAAAATTCTCAATATATACAGCTTAAATCTTAAAAATAAGGAACAAATTCTTTCCCATCTGCCTAAAATAAGGAATCATTACTATAAATTTCTGAAGTTCTGTTTTAAATGTTAATCTTCTAAATACTGTTTCAGTTCATAAAATATGTTACTGTAAATATATATGCATGCTCTTTTTTTTTAACAAAAGCTATTTTAGGAACAAAATATAATATTTTTAAACACTAAAATCTAATGTCTCAGAGTCAAATCCCAAATACAGCAAATATATTTTCAAATTACAGGTTTTTTTTTTAAAGCTTTGAGTATGTTCCCAAGAATCTACATTTATTTTTGCTTAAGAGAACTTTGTTTCCATATTAACAGCCTGTTTTTTTTCCTCCCAATGAAACTGTTCATATGACCAAGAAACAAACAACGCCTTTAAAAAAAAAACCTCTATTTTGCCCATCTAAAGTATTCATACAAACCTTGAATCAGATCCCCAATGCATAGCATAAATTTTGGCTAAATGACCTCTCAAGGTACGCCTTGTACGCATCTGGATTCGACCCACTGAGTCAAGACTGGTGGTGATCTGAGAGAAAGAGAAAGACACTTTTCAAAACCTTCTCCTGGACAGCATAAAATATATGACAACAGAATATAAGAAATAACTTAATAATGCTAAGTCATTTCTTATATTTGTCATGTACAATTTCTTTATATGAAAAGACTGCTGGTGCTAAGTTATAGTATCATAATTTTGGGATTTTGCACAACATACAAACCCATTCTTTGTGACTTAGTATAATATTCAAATCTGGCCAATTACAGATGGTTCCATAAACCGTGATTTTAAAAATAGGGTTTAATGTACTCAAATGGAACAAAGCTTGAGCAAGGGGTTACAACCAATACACAAGTCCAAGAAGGCATGACTGCTATTTTGGTTTACTGATTTCTTTTTTAAGCCCCTTTAAACTATTGCAGAAACATACTAGCAGATCTTCAGAGTCAATGTCAAATAGAGATCAAAACCTTTTTCTTTTCCTAACAAGGAAGAGAGACATAAGACAAGGAACTTCTGCTAAACTGCAGACTCCGCACATCCATTTTAGATGCTGTAATTGCCTTATAGCTGTTAGCTGTTTTAGAAAAAGAAGCAGAGCAGGAAGGAAAAGTAAATGGCAACCCACCTGAGCAAGAGTTGTGTCGCTACATGCTTTTCTTGCATCCTTTAAAAGAAAATTTAAAGTATTACTTTACATAACAATAGCTGGAATGAGTTTTGCATCCTTACCAAATTACTGTGTTCATTAAGGGGGGGGGGAGATTCATTCTGGCAGGCTATGTCTGGCAAGTAGCAAACCAATAGGCAAAAGGCTCACATACTTAACACTCCCTGGCTGCAAATACCACAAAAAGAATGAATAAGATTTCAGAAATCAATCCTGACCCCAAGGATCCATCCAATGGGGGCTCTCTGAAAGAGGCCCAGCACTGTGCCCCGAAGCCTCGTTCAAGACTCCTTCATCCATCCGGTGACAATATCATACCAGGAGAAAACTACACAGGGGCAGATAAAATGTCCCCCTTTCTCTTCACAAAAAGATCTCCTTGGGTTACCATGAAATACGTTAGAAAGACATCTTACTCTGATTTGATTCCGGAGCTGTTCTGCCTCCTGCCGTAATTGTTCCAGTTCACTCATTCTCTTGAATGGGTCTCTTTTCGCCTCTTACAGTACAAGTGATGAGAAATCTGCTAAAAACAATTTACAGAAACCACTTGAATTGTTTGCCTGTAATTAACAACATCAACATTTACAATTTACAGCCATCCCATCATTATTCCATTCTTCTCAGGACTACATATAGCCCCCAAGTGCCTGGAGTAGAGATTCCAGGGTTTTCCAAAAGTTGCAGCATAACTAGACATTAATGATTGACAATGGCAACATTCTAAAATATATGGAGTTAAATCATATTAATTGTATTTCGTTCATTTAAATGTATTTTAATTTAAAATCTAATTTTGGAATTTTTCTTGGCCCCACCAATTTGTCTTTTCCTCCCCTAGTTTTCTAGTGTGAACCCAGTACATTAACAGCTTGAAAAAAGTCATGCACTCTGAAAATCTTACCAAAATACTCTACTATGGAATTATAGAACACATTTAAAGAGCTTCAACCATGTCTCTGTGTGTTTGTATGTGTGAGTCTCAGCATCATCCTTTAAAAGAAAGCAAGTATGGGCCCTCACGGGGGGGTGGGGGTGTTAGAAACTTAGATAAACAGAAAATCTGGACTACCTTCATGTTACCTCAGAATGCTAATTTTAATGCGGTGCAACATTTCAGAAAGGATGAGAATAAAAGGAAATACAAGAAAACAATTTCCTCCTTATTTTAAAGAAAGTACCTGAAATACTTTCTGATTTAAAAAAAAAAGATGATTGACTGCAGAAATGCCCATTGTGGGGGACTTATAGGACCCTAAAGGCATGCATTATCTGAACATGAAATGTCTCAGAGTAAGTGAATGAGGAATATTCATAACACCGTGATCTATGCAGATAGATTTTGCTTACTGACTGCTTTGGTAGCAACAATTCAAAGAAGCAATCTCTTCCTTTTATGCTTGGTGCAGCACTTCCCCAAAAGATGCTAACCTCCCAGTTAAAAAACTCAGTAACTGACAAGACAGGCATGGGGAATGGTCTATAGTGGAGTGTGTGCGCGCAAATCTCTTTGTGTTCAGTGTGAGAAGCTGGAGTTGCAGAGGCTGGCAATTTGGAAGTTCAGAGCAGTGCAGCATCTTTGAGATAACCTCCAGGAAAATCAAAGAAGAGTTATCTGACCACTTGGTGGAGATGGAAATGTGGCTGGACTTGTGGGCTTGAGGATGCTGCTTTTAACTGGAGTTGCAATAGAGGCTTCAAGCAAACTGCAGGCTCATCCCTAATCAGCTGCTTAGTGGTGGGTAAGGACTTTTTACCATGCCTTGTGGACTGATAAAAAAAACAAAATACTGGATGCAAACCCATACATAATGCCAAAGATACTGCAGACTATCATTATGATGAAATCAAAAAATTTTCTATTGGGTTTTATGAATGTCGAGCCAAAAAAGCAATATGAAAAATTAACATTGTAAAAGTAATTGTAGAAGATTATTTTATGCACAAAGGGGGAGAGCAAGTCAATCACCTCAGTGGAAGACTGAATTATAAAATTGACTGAACTTGTGGAAATGGGGAAGTTGACCAGTTTGGTCGGGGGGGGGGGGGAAATGGGTCATGGACTTTTATGGACTTTTTCTTGAAAGAAGATTGAATTGACGATTTCTGGGTTTGGAAATTAAAAAGGAACAAAAAAGAAGGGGAAATAAAATGGCAATTACTCAATAGAAAGAAGGGTGAAAGGAATTAACTGTTTTCATTTTCTTTATTCTTTCTTAATCCTTTTTTGTTTGTTTGTTTGGTATTATTGCAGTGCTCAGGATCTAAAGGTTCTTTTGCAACATGAGGATAGCAGCAGTTTGGGCAGGGTTCCCAGACAGCAACAGTAATGGAGATGGAAATGTGGCTGGACTTGTGGGCTTGAGGATGCTGCTTTTAACTGGAGTTGCAATAGAGGCTTCAAGCAAACTGCAGGCTCATCCCTAATCAGCTGCTTAGTGGTGGGTAAGGACTTTTTACCATGCCTTGTGGACTGATAAAAAAAACAAAATACTGGATGCAAACCCATACATAATGCCAAAGATACTGCAGACTATCATTATGATGAAATCAAAAAATTTTCTATTGGGTTTTATGAATGTCGAGCCAAAAAAGCAATATGAAAAATTAACATTGTAAAAGTAATTGTAGAAGATTATTTTATGCACAAAGGGGGAGAGCAAGTCAATCACCTCAGTGGAAGACTGAATTATAAAATTGACTGAACTTGTGGAAATGGGGAAGTTGACCAGTTTGGTCGGGGGGGGGGGGGGGGAAATGGGTCATGGACTTTTTCTTGAAAGAAGATTGAATTGACGATTTCTGGGTTTGGAAATTAAAAAGGAACAAAAAAGAAGGGGAAATAAAATGGCAATTACTCAATAGAAAGAAGGGTGAAAGGAATTAACTGTTTTCATTTTCTTTATTCTTTCTTAATCCTTTTTTGTTTGTTTGTTTGGTATTATTGCAGTGCTCAGGATCTAAAGGTTCTTTTGCAACATGAGGATAGCAGCAGTTTGGGCAGGGTTCCCAGACAGCAACAGTAATGACGGCTATAAGGATGGAGCTGTGATTGGATTCTTGGGCTACAGCAGGACTCTACTAGTAGCAGGATGTTGCTTATCTGATTGTTGGGGAGCTGCTATTCTTCTGGTTTGGATATGGGATGGTAGCTGTGTTTTATATCCCTTCTTGCTGTAAGTCTCCCAGGAGGCTGACACGGCAGGGGCTGGTTCCTCGCTGTTTCTAGACGACCTTGTGGAGCTAAGACTGAGTATGTTTCAACATAGATGGCCACCACAAAATTGTACATTGGCTCCCGGGCGGCCAGGGCCAGGGTCAAGGCAGCGGGGGCCGTTCCCTCACTGTTTCCAGGATGGCTTCGCGGGCCACATGAAACCACGTCACGGGTCGCATCTGGCCCCCGGGCCTTGTGTTTGACATGTCTGATATAAATTGTCTTATTTCTCACCTTCACAACAAGACAAGACACCAAGGACTAAAAATTATTCAAATAAAGATAACATGATATAGTACTTGCAATGGAGTTTAAACCAACTTTTGCTCCTGTATAAAGAAATCTAGATTTCTCCAAACATCCAGAGACACCCAAGTTATTCTGACATCAATCACAGCAAATACAAATACATAAAATGTGTTTATAAAATGCTTTTTAAAGTTAAAATGTCTAGCCACATGCATAGAATTTTACCTATCCAGCGATATGTTTTTAAAGACATTCTTTATTGGTCAGCAGAGACCAAGTCTCCTCTTTCTATCTTGGACTTCTGAATCAATGAAAGTCCCTGGATAGTCATGAGAGAGTTTAGGTTCAGACAAGAGCATTTAGAAACCAAAATATTTCTCTCCACACTATAGAACAAAGGATTCTACCACCTTTCAGCAATTATCAAGACCAAGGGCAATTCCATTATTCATCAATTCTTGAAGTATAATTTACATTTGTAGAATTATTAGGTTTTCAAGACTCACTTACTCTTTTAGATGTCTTAGAATTAGACATCTACAAAAAAAGAGAGCCTTATTTACAGGTCATTTGAAGTGCATCTGAACTCTTATCACTTACCATTAACCATAGCCAGTCGTTTTGTTTTAATTCAAAGGATCAGGCTGAAAACACCTAACCAAATGCTACACACCCTCTTTACTATGAATGTTTACCCCTGGTAATGATGGCTGCCTAGATTACAAATGCCTCAACATTGCTTCTCATTGGGAAAATGTCAGAGAAATCTTTTGCTGTTTGGCAAAGCCTTTGTTTCTCCAAAAATAAATACAGGAAACAGGCCTAGGTGTGTCCTTGATCTTTAAGGTTGAAGATATTGTGCACATTTTCAAAGGGCTCTGCAGCAACGTGCCTCCACTGCAGCTAGACAACAAAATACAGGAAGCTGTGGCCCAGAAGGCAAGATTCAACCTAGAGCTTGACTCCCAATTCGACTCCAATAATTTTAGAGGCTCCCAACTTTTGAATACAAAACCAAACTTCCCTTTAAAAAAAATCTACATTTTACATAGCTTCCCTTCATCTACAGTGGGAGACGTTACCGCAACTATAACCATATGGTAACAGGTCTCAGGCTACAAGGTACCTCGATACTCACCCTTAATTGGTTCCGAGAGGCGCGATGAGTACCAAAATCGATGAGTACCAAACAAATTTTTCCCACAAGGAACACTGTAGTAGCAGGGGTGTCAAACTTGCAACATCACGTGGCGTGTCATGACTTTTTTTCCATTGCCGGCAACGGGGTGGGCGCGGTTTCGCCATGACGTATCCGGCACGCGGGCTGGCAGTTTGACACCCCTGCTGCAGTGAGTCACAAAGCAGCCAACATCTGTAATTTCTAGCTTGTGTTTGGAGTACCAAACAATGAGCACCTGGACAAAATTTTCATGTCAAAATGCGCTGAGTACCAAATTCGATGAGTTTCGAAGCAGTTGAGTACCAAGGTACCACTATACAAGTGAATACACTCTTTTCAAGTAGCCTTTAAATTGTGGATCTAGTCATGTTCAGATTGCGTGAATTCAGTGCAACTCTAGATCTTGGCGCAGAAATTGATGACAGTGGTGTCTATTCATAGGGTAGCAATCCATAAGATATTTTCCAGCTAATTTTATCTCTCTTGGAAGCCCCAAGCGTTGCTGTCACAGACACGGTGCCAAAAATCACAGCTTTTGGCAAGTTCCTTTCATAACCTATCCCAAGACATTGTGATAAAGTTATTCCTTGGCTCAAAACAATGACATCCCTCTGCTGCAACTATTTTTCATACATGGATTATTCAGGAAAGGAGGTATTCATTTCTTGCATATTCAAACTTCTGGTTCTCAAATCATTCAAACCTCTTTGGAAGGAGACACATTTGGAGGACTTTTACTTTGGATAAATCTTGAATTTACCATAAGAAGCCTTATTCAAGAAACTAGATAAAATATAAGGTTTAAACATTCAGATTTAAAATTTTTAAATTAGTGGATTTCCCTATCTGAAATAGAGAACTTAGAAAGTGTAAAAGCATA